TTTATCGACTCTTTGTTATCTTTTTACATTTTTTCAACCAACAGATACCTATATAGAGTGAGCAATTGAATTAATACATACATTACAGAAATTTAACAGACATTTATTTTATTGTCTCATCGTGTATAAGTACCATAATATCCACAGGAAATAAAAACATAAATGTTTTGTTACAAAAAATCGGTATGTACGGTATCGATAAAAGCCAAAATATTCATAAATATAATATAAGGATTGACTTTATTTGAATAAAAATATCACCGGCAACTAACCGACAATGGATCGAGAAAGTATAAGACAACATATGATGGGCCTATTTGACATTCATTTTAGGCCCTCTCTACAGCGTCTTAGTCCAAACGCTCGTAGAGTCCTAATATTTGGCCCCGATGCAATTTCTCCAACAATGAATCGGGACCAGCTAAGGCTAGAAATTTCCAATTTTCTGGAGGAAATAACAAATTCGGGGGAGGCAGCTGGGGTCCTCGATCCTCATTTTAGGCAGGAGAGTAGTGTACCACGCCAAAATATTGAGGAATAGATATTTTGTAATTATATAAGAGATAATAATAAAAAAAATATCATACAGAATATCGTTTACATTACTACACCTTAAACTCGCTTATGAAAAGTTTAACATCTTCATCAAAAAAGTTATTTTTTTTTAAGGAAAATTTCTCAGGCCACAAATTAAAGGATCTGAGGTTACTAAAAACTTTTGTAAAATATCCTACATATCCTCGGCGTTGGTGAGAAGAAAACATTAAATTTGTTTAATGAAAATGATTCAAAAGACAAAGAATATAGGTACACGATAAAAAAAAATCTCACTTTTTTGTATTAGTTTTAATGTCTATGTATATATCAGTACACTTTTTTTATCTTGTTTTAATAAAAAAAAGAGGTTTGTCCTGATAGTATTAGAATCTGCCGCACTGTCTGCCGTCTTAAATAGCGAACCCAGAATGAGACGCCTATGTGATTAAAACCAATTATTTGAACGCGATTAAAATGTCCGGTCTTTACGTGATATCTACCTGTTTTTTTTACCAATATATCATTGATGAACTAACAGCGCTGACTTTTTATCCAACGTTGCTGCAATCAATGCAACACCAATCCATTAGTCTCAATGTACGGTTTTTCCGATTAGATGTGACAAATGACAGCTGGATTGTGGGAATTAATTATTAAATTGTTCTATTGTGGGAAAACCCGAAAAAATAGGCTTTTAAAAATACTTACGTTCAAATTAAGGTATAAAGGTACATTCAAATAAAATTATAAACACAAATGTTTATCGAAAATGTCAACTGTTATTTATTTCAACGGTCAACCATAAATAAACCGAATCCAACACAAGGCGTTCAAGGTCGTATCGGTGAAACAACGATTCCAACAAACCGATGGACAAAAAGACACGTTTTCCATAATTTTTGAAGTGACCATTCAGTGTTTTCATCATTTTAAAATGGTTCAATTGTTTATCCATCTGTTCCTGATATTTTGCTTTCATTTCTGTGTTTTTCAGTTTACTTATTGCAATTCTTTTGTAGTTTAGTTTTTAATATTTTTGTGAGAAATTCTGCTATTATTAATCTATAGGGTGTATCCCTATTTCAGCGTCCTTTCTTGTCTCTACTTTATAATACTTGTTAAATTTTGTTAATAAACTATATAATCTATTAACCTCTTTGCTTTTCATGCTTCTACTATAAACATATATTTATTTTCTAATTTTTGTACCTACATCGTATTTCCTTTTATTAAATACCAATACCTACATATATTTCTCTCATAAAAGTCTATCATCTTGAGTCCATTTCTCTTTATTTGCAAAATAAATAGACTCATTATTTTTTCTTGATTCAAAGTGATACCTCATTAAATAGATAATTTCATTAGAAATTCAGCTATGATATTTTCAGGCCTGATTTTCGCGGAGTAAGTTTTGTAATGCAAGTGAGTGAAACGCATAACACACATTTCAACGGTACGTCAAAAGAGACGTGTTTTTGGATTTTTTATAACAGTTCTATATTCTGAGATATTCTGTGCGCGAGTCCCTTTTAAAAAACACCCTGTACTATATACGCTTGATTAATAGGTAAATTACGTTAGATAAAAATAATGCGTCATGATGAATGCGTGATCAAAATAAGGAAAAAGTAAATCTGATTTCCGGTACATAAAAAGTGTAGGTACGTACCTACTTTAAATATGAATAAATACCAAAATGCCTATTAAACTAGATAATTAAATATTTATTAATGTTTATATAAAACAATGAATTTTTATAATAAAATTTTTATTCAATAGTTGGAAGTTAATGTATTGATAAAGAAAATAGCTCTAGAATAGCTAATGAATAAAAAAAATAAATAAAGAATTTTTTTAAATTTTTGAAGAAACATTCCTGGAACTTTCTTTTGGAAATTAGACGAAAACTGTAGCTGTAGCTAAATGGTGCTCCCGCCCATTTTTCGCATAATGTCAGGACATATTTAAACCAAAAACTTTCCTGAAAAACGGATAGTTAGAAGAGGCCCTACTAATTGCCCCAAATGGTGCTCCCACCCATTTTTCGCATAATGGCAGGACATATTTAAACCAAAAAATTTCCTAAAAAATGGATAGTTAGAAGAGGCCCTACTAATTGCCCCCCTAGATCACCCGACTAACCACTCTAGATTTTTCTTTTGGGGATATGTTAAAAAGTGTATCAAACTCAGCCGACCACCGCCGAAGATATGAAAACACGCATTCGTGATGTGATTGCTAATCTGCTATTATTAATTTAGAGATTTTAAGTAATGTAAAATAGTAGTTTGTGCAATATCGCACGAAGATTATAAAGTCAAAATTTTGAGAAAATAATGTCAAAATTTTGAGAAAAAAAGTCAAAAAACATAAACAAGGATTTTTCCTGTCATCCTGTCACCTTAGTGAGTATTTTGTGGTCATTTGTCATATGGCATATTTAAATAGAAATAGAATCCCGGTGGAAAGACACATAAACCCAAACGTGACCCAAACTGATTCAAGATTCAAACAATTCAAACTTTCCTTGCTTTTCTCCTTCGTCCGTAGTCCACATCAGAAAAAGAAAAAAAGCTAGTTCATATTCCATATCCATGATTTAAACGAACTCCTGCCTTGAGAGAACTTGGAAGACCAATTGAATGAATTTTTAAAAATGCGAGACATTGACCAGATGAAGATTGACGAAGATTGATGGAGAACGAAAAGGTAATAAATCATGTGTTTATATTCTCAGATTTTCAACGTTTGTAAAAATTCTTCTATATAGGTATATAGGTTTAATACATTTAAACGTCGTTTTACTGTTCTTTCACTAATTTTTATATTGTCACGTAATTCAAGGTAAATTAATATTTCTTAGTAACTTAAACCCAGTAAAAAATATTCTTTAATTAGCTTCTCTTGATAATCCATTTATTACAGTTTGCAGTTTGATTTCCAATAACTCAGCAAAGGTGCAGCAAAGACAGCACTCAAAACTCAAAGAGCTCAGAACATCCGAAATACAATGGGTTGGTGAAAGGATAAGCGGGATAAAAATCAGTGTTTGTTTAATGACAGTTATATTTTAATGTCGTTAATTATTTTTAAGCAAATATATTGTGTTTTTAAGTATGACAGTTTGCAGCGCCCTTTTAAACACTCTTGCAAAGATGACAGAACATAAAAGCAGATACTTAATTTTCTGTTCTTTGACTATTTTTTCTCAAAATTTTGACATTTTTTCTCAAAATTTTGACTTTTTTTTCTCAAAATTTTGACTCTTTTCTCAAAATTTTGACTTTTGCTTTCTCAAAATTTTGACTTTATTTTCTCAAAATTTTGACTTTTTTTCTCAAAATTTTGACATTTTTTTCTCAATATTTTGACTTTTTTAAAATAAAATAATTTTTTGTGGCACGAATACGATGTCGTATGCAAGAATGCCTCCTATGCTCAGCTCTTCGAGCATAAAAGGCCCAGCTAGCCAAATATTAACACCGCGTTCGACTCGTAAGGATGTCTTCCATGTCTGGAACGCCAAATATGGGCCATATACGGTTTCTACTTCTAAATTATGTCAAATGGTACGGTCCTCCCTTTTATAAAACAAAAAATTTTGTTTTATTGTTATAAAAAATTATACTAATTTTATCATTATTCCTAATTTTTTATTATTTTAAACTATATTTTAATAAAAAATTTATAAAAATATAAAAATTATAATACTTATAAAAGTAAATTATAACATACTTAAAATTATGGAAATTTATAATCCTAAAATATTTTAAATTCCTAAATTTTTAATAAAAATATATTTTTAAGCTCATCCCTAAAAATATTAAATATTACTAATATTAAATTAAAAATTAAAATTAAAATATTAATAATAAATAAATTAAATTTATTTCTTATTTCATTGTTCTGTTTTACAACATTTTTATGTGAATTATTTACTTGATAATTAGATCTCTTGGTAGTTAGATGTATTATAGTAGATGAAATAAAACCTGTAAAATTTTAAAATCTTTTTTAAAAAACGAATTTTCGGATCAGAAAATATTTGTGGTGTCAGGCCGAGCGAATGCCGACTATTTGTGGTTTACTTGGCAATTTGTATAAATGAAAATAAATAAAGAATGATTAAATTATTATTTAAATTTCCTTTTACTGCTTGTCTACCTATTTTATTTAAATAAATTGACTCATATAATAATATAATTAATTTATGTATTAAATAAAATTATAAAACCAATTTAAAACTCAAATTTTTATATTAAGTAATGTCTGTCATTTATAACTAATTATAAAGGTATGGAAAATTTTTACCGAAAAGAACCGTTTGGACCAAAAAATTTGGTCAAAACCGAACCGAAATATTTTTAAAACCACCGAAACTGAACCGGGCCCAAAATTTTTAGTTTTACTAGAAACCGAACCAGAACCGTAAAATTCATTTCGGTCCGGGTCCTTGCCTACATCACGTGAAATCATGAATAATTGATTAAATTTAAAAATTTTATGTCGAACACAATGAAAATATTATTTAAAAAGAATACTATTTCGAATAAAATAGCGTTATAGATGGAAGATGGAAGCCTATGTCGCAACCCCTTTAGATGTACGAAGTACGAACCCTTCCCACTTGACAGGTCGTTGAAATTCATTGATATTTATGTTTTGTGATTTTTGTTTACGTTGACTTCTAGATGACATGGAACATGAAATTGGAAAATAAATAACCTTACTTTTAATTTAACAGGGCATAAAATATTTTAAATTTAATAATTTTTGTTTCCCTAGGCCTAATTCCCGAATTAGTTTTCATCTTCGAGTATATATATTTTCTTTAATTTCAATTATACAGTGATTATACATATTTTTATTTTGGCGAACAGTAAAAAAAGGACTAATTATGGTAAGAAAAATGCAAAATATATTATTTTTAATGTAATTATATAAAAATACAAATACTGATATATTATTAATTATAAAGAAATATATAAATTCTACTTCATAAGAAATAGTAAAACATTTGTATTAAATTATAAACTAAAGTTGTATTTAGTGAAACCATGTAAAAAACTATGTGTTGGCAAATTTATTAAGTGTTCTTGTACCCATGGTACAAAAAATTGTCTTTTGTGTGGCATAGATAATTGAAAAAGTATAATATTAGGAAATAATTTGATTTTAATCTTGTAGGATATCAGTTCATTCTCAAACGAAGATTTTAATACCAAAAACTGGATTAATAATATCCTCAAACAAATAGAAAAAGAGAAAGAAGTAAGTTCAATCTCATTCTACAAATACTTTTAATTGTGGCATTTAAAATCTTTTCTATAGGCTAATTACACCATGTCCTTGGTAATGAAACTTCAACTTTATGTTCAACAAGTCAATAATGCATTAGAAGACACAAGCCAGCAAGTATTGGCTTCTTTACCAAAAATTATGAGAGATGCAAAGAATCTGCAACAGGAAGCATTATTACTGAAACAAAAAATGACTGCTGTGAGAGCTGAAATTGAAAAAATTGAACATGATACTGGCCAATCGATTAACACCATTGAACAATTGGATTCCATGCAAAATAAATTGATATTAGCAAAACAAGGTCTTCATGAAAGTGATAATTGGACGATATTGGGTAAATAATGATCATTTTTTATGAACGAATAAAATGTTTACTATTTTTTCACATGTGTTTAGTATTTAGTACAATATCCTGTTTTCAGTTAATGACCTAGAAGAAGTGTTTGACTCTAAAAATATAGAAACAATATCAAACAAGATATTGGGAATGCAGAATTCCCTTAAGTTGCTAGTTAATGTAGCAGATTTTGAAAACAGAAGATTACAATTGGAAGGCTTAAAAAATAGGTTGGAAGCTATAGCAAGTCCTTCTATAGTACAGGCATTTAACTCTCATAATACAGGTAAGTTTAAATAATAAACTAGCTAGGACAAAATATAACAATATGCCTATAGCCCAAGCAATGAAGCACTCAGGTCAAGGGTGAAAAATGAGATTTATATGTTGGTCCAATTCGACGTCCTGATGATCTCCTTTCATTTGCGCCCTGGCTCTCTGCCTTGCAGTTTTGTTAAGGGGTATTTTTTAGAAAAAATAAATTATTTAAGAAAGCTGCACAAACAGGTATTTATATATATTAAAAAAAAATTGTCCAGTCTTCATCTAGAGGATATTTGTGACAAAAACCCCATGAGAGTACTACCCTAGTATTTCTAGTTTACCTTCTAGAGTGGTTCATAGCATCATGAAATAGAAGCAGTGCAAAATATGGCAAAGTGGCCTTGAATGACGCTCTAGAGGGTAAACTATAAATAATATTGAGGTACTACTGTCGTGGTGATTTTTCAATAATATCCTCTAGATGAAGACTAGACAAGAATTTTTCATTTTAGACTAATCATTTGCCCAGCATTTTCAAAAAGACATCTAAAAAAATGTATCACCAGGACATCGAAGTGGACCAAGTTACCATTTTGTAACTTTATTTTTTCACAGGAAAATTTAAGTACTATTATTTTATAATTAGCAACAATTTAAATAACATTTTTTTTACAGAACAATCTCAAATTTATGTTGAAATATTCACATCTATGGAAAGGTTACCACAGCTTCTGAAATATTACCAAAAATGTCAAAAAAATGTTTTGCTAAAGAAATGGAGACATCAGTTGGAAATTGAACAAGACGAATCGACCATTCAATGGATCCATAATTTTTACAACCATCTATTATCAAATTGGCACACTCAATATCGTTGGTTCAATCAAGTATTCAGTGGAGTATCAGCTCTACAAACTTTAGTAGATATTTACACTGACGTTTTAACTTCTTTGGATCCTAGTTTAAATGAATGTATTGATGCTGCATTGAAACAAGTATCTGATAAGTTGAATTTTATAGGAGAAGTCAAGCAAACTACAACACAGTTTAGGGATAGTTTATTGAACATAGTGGATCAAACTGTCCAAAGTAAGACTTTTTTACTCAATACCTTATGCCATCTGTCAATATACAGTTTATAATATTAACTATACACATAATAAAACATCTTATGATTTGTCACAATATACAGGGTGGTTGTAAATATGTGCGAAAGATTTTTCCAAAGTTCCTATAAACGTAGGTCGAAGAATATGCTTCATTTCCAAAACAGAGTCTTTAAATTTTAATTTTTCATTTATTTATATTAAATATTTCAAAGAGTTTTAAAGATATTGACTCGAAATTTGCAGAACGCTTTAGATGGATAAATGTACATTGTTTGGGTAGTCTGAATATTTCTTTTTGCGCCAGTGGCGTTCGTGCGAGAATGCCACAACTTTTTTAATAAAAAAAAGGTGATTGATTTTTTCCCGTTAATTTTTTTTAGCTAATTGAGGTAAAAATGTACTAAATGATTAATATTAAGAAATAGGAAACTTACCATTGAATAGGACTATTGAGAACCGGAGTTAGACACATGTATGTATAGGAACTCCATAAGGGTATAAAAACAATTCCTACCTTGCATATAATTAATAATACTCCATAAGAAATATTTGGGAAATTTATTTTTTCCTGTAATTGCTTAGTAGATATACATCAGTTTTAAAATAGATTGCATAGGGCAACTACCATATAAAAACAATGATGCCACTTTTTTGATATATTTATATTTCTTTCTTTTTATCCATATTTGAGCTTCTCTTTTGACAAAAACAAATCGGGGTCCAAAGGGATGACCGCAGACAAAAAGAAAATCCTGATTCAAATGATACTAATGAAAATAACAAGAATGAACATAAAGACTTTAAAAACCTAAGAAAACCAAAAAATGTTATGTACCTCAACTACTCGAGCCATGCAAAAGGAGTTGCAAGTAGAAATGTCGTGAACGATTTAATGATGAAAGAAAAATAATTTTTAAGAATTATAATGATTTAAATTTCAAAGAAAAAACACTGTTTTTGGATAAATATATCGTCAAAAAAGAAAATAAATATAGAAAAGTCGAAGCAGATGTACCCAGAAAGTTTCTGAAGGTATATAACTTACCAAATATTAAAATAGAATGGCAGCTAGAAAATATATTTTCAGATTCGCAGTTGAAAAACCAGTAATACAATGGAAGATTTGGTTAACGTGTAGATAATGTAAAAGATGATTCGCAGCAAGTAAACTTATTGAAACTTATTGACCAGTCTGAAACCAAAAGCATGATATTGGTTTGTAAAAGTATGTTTATGAATACTCTTGGTCTTAGATCTGACTCCATAATCACCGATTCCTTAAATAGTAAAAAAGGGCTGAGACAGTGAGAGCAATCGCATCCGCAAGTGTCACATTATAATTTAGAGCATGCCCCAAATGGCAGGATATTTACCGTGTGATATAACAATTCGTGAAATGTACAAAGACTTTCTATCAAAGTTTTGTAAAATAAACTATGAAACCTATAGAAAGATATTCGATAGAGAAAATATATACACTACACATCGCCAAAATTCTTGGACCTCGTAAATATTAAAACGAAATATTTATCATGGCTGCTTTGTCGTCCATTTAATCTTTATTTATTTCACCGTTGATACGAATCTAAAACAATTTCCCACAATTTTAGGTACCAATGTTTAAAAAGTGGTTCATATCGATTTTGCGTGTTTAAGTGATTGTTAGAGTTTTTCTTTGCAACTATGCCTGGCAATAGAATTTTAGTGTTTAATAGAGCAAGAATAGTGGCTTTGCATGATGAGGGTCTGCCGAATCATCGAATCGCAGATATACTAGGGATTACCGCGCTTCAGTTATCCGAATAGTGCGTTTGTACCAAACTAGAGACGTGGTACTGGGCGTCCTAGGGTAACTAGTCCAAGAGAAGATTGGTATGTAGCAGGTTATGTACGTCGAAATCGAACCGTAACAGTCTAAGCTGTCCGAACTCATTATAGAAGAACGTATGGTCGATTCATTTCCAGTACCACAATACGGCGGAGACTTGCTGGAGCCAATTTACGATCTAGGAGACCATTAAGAGTACGCAAGTTATTTCTCAGACATATAGCTGCTCGCCTACAGTGGGCACAGGAACACGGATACTGGCTTTTAACTCAGTGGCGAAATGTTCTTTTTTCGGACGGAACCAGATATGGTTTAATTAGTGATAGTCGGTGACACAGAGTTTGGAGAGGACCAGAAAGACTATCTTTTGCCAGAGAAGTCGTTCCATACCAAGGAGGAACAGTAATGTTTTGGGGAGGCATAATGCATGGTCGTCGTACGCAGCTTATTCCCATTCCAGGCACTATGACAGCCGATAGATATGTTCGAAACATTATTGAACCCATTATTTGTCCTCTCTGAAATGAAATTGGAGTCGCGGCCCAAGAAGAATGGAACATCCCAATGGATTACATTAACACCCTTATTGTTTCCAAGCACAGGCGATTTAATACCTTTTACTACAGAACAGGGGAGGACACATCGAATATTAATGAATTTTTGATTTCGCTCTAAAGTGGTTTTTTTTTTGGATTTCAAATTCTAGTAATAATTTTATTATGCACTATTTTTCGTTTGTATATTTTTCTTGTTCAGTTAAAATTTAATTCAGCCAATTTGTATTGGATACATAACCAAAATAAATATACTATGTTACACATTTCTTGACTTTTAATAATAGTGTCTCATTTTGACAAACATAAGGGGTTCCAAGAATTTTGGCGATGTGCGTAGGTTTTGCATCACCTACCCAAGATTAGTGTGGAATGTGCTCCATCTATAAAAATCATGTTCACAAAAATTATATGCCAAACACATCTATTTTAACTGACCCTAATAAATGTGAAGGTGAAGAAGCAGGACTAGTAGAATTAAACAAAGGAGTATGTGACATTTGCAAGAAATACGACAATGCTAAAACTCGATACAGAAAACAATACAATGAAGACTCGAACAAGAAGTGGACATTAGATTTTGAAATTTACTCTTTTGACATGCAAAAAATTTTAATATTACCAAAAATGGCCATAAAAAGTTCGTTTTTCGTAAGCAGATTGGTTGTGTTTCATGAAACATTTGCCAATTTGCAAGCAGCAAATGAAAATAAATGTGTACTTTGGCAGGGGACGGAATGGGCCAGATGAACAAAAAAGATTAAATAACGATACAAAACACGTATTTTTTTTTTGACTGACAACTATACAGCACAAAATAACTGGGCCTTTTTCACAGCTTGTGTCATATTCGTTAACGATGTGCGGGGACCAGAAAGTAACACTTTTAAGTATTTTGAGCCTGTACACAGCTTTATGAAAGCGGATGCGGTTCATGGCCTTATAGAAAAACAAAATAGAGACACACCTCAGAAGTTTTAGATTTCGATAATCTAGTTCATTTAATTGAAACATCAAATAAGTTAAACAAAAGTCATTAATTTACGCGCAGAAGATTTTTTAGAATTCGAAAATGGTTGTCAAACTGTAAAAAAGGGACCAGACTTGCCAAAACTTTATATAAAGTGTGTTCAATTTTCAAAGGGCTCTAAAAAACTCTTCTTTAAATCTGAACTACAACAAGAATCGTTTTCTAAAGTATATTGAGACCGAAATTAAAATTAGAATTACCAAAGCAAGTTTCAACCGATAGAGGTATAAACCAAAAATAGAAAGATATTATTAAGGAGCTTACGCAGTACCCAGACAACACACCAAATCCCAGAGATATTCACAGAATATCTTGTGGATATCCAATATATCCACAGGATATCAGAAATATCCCGTGGATCTAATATGGATATCCAAATGTCCGTCTATATCCAGAATATAAAAGATATCCTATGAATATCCAGCAAAATATCTAATGGGTATCTCCCAGACAATACAAGAAATCCCAGAGATATCCACAGAATATATTTTGTGGATATCCAATATATCCAGTTGATCTAATAGGATATAGAAGATATTCTATGGATATTCAGCAAAATATTTTATGGGTATCTTTAGTAGAGGTTCATAAGTAACCATTGATTATCGAATAACGTCGAAAGAAAATAGCAGAGATAGAAATTATTTTCAACACTCTGCCTTTGATTTTGCCCACTAAGGAGAAAATCATCCTTATTAGGACTCTTCAGCAATAAATAAAAATTCTCGACTCCAGTCTCTAATGGAGTCTGATTGCAATACCAATTTCGATCGAACTCAATTACGGCGGGTTGAGCACGAGCGAAAGTGGTATCGCCATCTATACTTAGTAAGTAAAATCAAAGGTCGCTGTAGTACCTAGTTCAGAGACTAGGTGGAAAAAAAGCCAGGCGGGCTATTCTTAAAAAAGAAAATAACTCTAGTCCTACTAAGGACGAAACCGGTCCAAGAATGACTTTCTTCTTAGTGGGCAAAATCAAAAATTACATCTAGTGGATATCCACCATGGTTTGCGTTCGCGCCTAGACTTTGATATATTTAGTGGATGTCCATGGAATATTGAATACACCTTAAAAAAATAATTTTAAATATCTGAACGGTACTATTAGCCACAATGGCGAGCACAATGGCGTAATTTTTTTAAGAATTTGCTATATAATTACTATTATTTATGGACATTTGCATGTCTATAAATTACATCTCATGGATATAAAATAGATATCCACCATGGACTGGACATTCAGTGGATATTGGATGTCCAGTAGATATCTAAAGGATTTGATGTGCTGTCTGGGTATATGCCACCAAGAAAACAAATTTTTTGAAAAAATCTGCCAATTAGAGAAGATGACTTAGGAATTATTTGTGCTGCGCAAATCTAAAAACTGCTATGTAGGGAATTTTTAGGCAATAATAATAATTACTATTTGTTTATGAGAAAACTTTTGTTTTTTAAATTTCAAAAATAATGAAATTACTGTTGTTTTTATAAGAAATATAAGTTTCACTAATTGTTATTGAATAACATTTTCACAATGAATCTTAGACATTTTAGACAATAATTATTTGGTCATTAATATAATTTTTTTCCAAAATTATCGTTTACCAAAAATACTGTAAATTTTTGTAAATACTATTAGTTGTCATCTTGGAATCTTGTTTTCACTTATTAAAAATAAAAATTAGTTTTTCAGAAAACCAGTTTTACTTTATTTTTATGACTTTTAAATCTATTTATATGTTTTTTCATTTCATATATTCTCTTAGTGTAAATTATAAATTCACTTGCTTGATTTCAATGTTTTTGTGCTCTTAGTTTATTAAAATATCTAGCATGTCGAGTTACTTATTTTTCAGATTGCATATCAGAGCGATTGTTAAATACAGTAACTCAAAAACTCTCAAAAACATAAATATTTAGTAAAATTATTTTATATTTATTTATTCCCTTGAAAAGAGCACAACAAAACATTTAATTAAAAAAAAAACAATACTGGGTTCAAATCTAAAGAAGTGATCTGAAAAATCATTTTAAAATAAATAAGTTGCTCTACCCAAAACCTTTAAATTTTGAGTTACTTGATTTTTGTTTGTACAGCAGATTTGTCTCGCGTCGTTCCAGTTGCCTACACAATATATGAAGTGATCCACAATTTTTTTTTTCTCTAAAATAGGCCATGAAAAAAATTACATATGTCGGAGCGCAGACTGTTTATCCTTAACCATCGCAAATACAAGCATCGAGCGAATGTGATGTAATAGATTAAGCGTCTGCTACTGAAGCAACTGTTATAATCCATTGCATTACTTAAATAGTCCCAACTTTAAAATTTTTATGGAACCAACAGAATAATTTAAAATCATTTATTTTAGTAAAACCGAATTCAGAAGAGCTGCTCAATCTACAGAAAGCCATATTTAGCCATTTGGTAGTATACGTAAACAAATATGCAGCATATGAGCAGACGAATTTGATGAAGCATCTTGCTTCATTTAACTGTATGAAAGACGAGTTACCGGATACCATTCAAGCTTTGGGTTTCAGTATATCATCTGCGATCGATGTTTGCAGGGAAGCAAAAAGGAGATGTCGTGAAATTACTGAAAATTGTGGTTATTGCGGCTTGTTAGTTGCTTTGAGGGCGTTTTTGTTAGGATATGCAGATTTTTATAGAGTAGCTTTGAGACAAATCGATAGAAGTAAAAGGTATGACAAATTGTTTTAATATGTCATTAAAATTTAGAATTATTTATATTTTCTTATAGGTCTGAAGAAGATTGGAACATTTTCCAACTATGTCTCTCCTTATTACAAAACACGGGCGAAGTAATTTTAAAATTACAACAATTTGAAAAGGAATTGACTAATCAAGTACTAGATTTGAATCAAAAAGATGTTGTCCAGTATAAAGCTTTGCTTTTAAATCATTCGGATCTTAAAGAATTCGATTCTCTGGTCAAATGCGTTACAGAAGGGACACAGTTGTCACTTCTTGATTCGGTTACTACGGAGTTTTCGAAACTATGTATCGATATCCACCACACGACTTATCAAGTAGTTTTTGCACCGATTTCGGTACATTTAGATATTGTACAGAACGCGCAGACTTGGAGCCAGTTTGATGGATCCACCATGCATGATTTACCGGATTACAGTTTTGCTCCACAAGAGTATATAACGCAGGTAAATTGTTATATTTCTAGTTCTAAAATAATTTGTTTTTCTTGTTAGAACTAAATTATCTGTTATACTGGATTTAATATAAAATAGAATGCATGTTAACGTTGTTTAATTTAAAATAATCACAATTGCCCTTAGTTCCCAAATTACCAAAATTATTATTTATATTGAATAAAATAAATCAAAATTACTTAAAAATACGTGCAATGATTTAAACTTAAATACATATTTTAATTCCTTTCACATTTTAATAATTAATATTTTGCTCTAAATTGAAATTTAATAGTATTTTATTCTTTTATTTATATTTTCTGTGTATAATTTTTTTGGTACACACTGTATAATAGATTGCGGCGTGCTCTTTATTTATTTTATTTTATTTATTTATTCTTACATTCAACGGCCAAGGCCTATTACAGAATGCGCACTTAACATTAATAATAATATATATTTGTAAATAATACAATAAAAGCAAAACAAATTTTAAAGTAAAACTATAAGTGAGATTGTATGAGTAATCTGAAAAAAACTCCAGTGGAGAAAAAAGGTTACTCACACATATCGCATGCGAAACAACTAATATATAAAGATGAAATTAGATACAAAAACATAAAAAACTTAATTACACTAAATATTTTAATTAGGAATATATGGATATAAATCAGGAATAAAGTTTTTTAATCTTTGAGATAGTAGTACAAAATAGATCAATTTCTTTACTCGAGTCATTAACTGACATAATAAGTTTGTTCTGGGAGTGGGAAGAATGAATGTGCAGCTGTACCTGCAGAGTTGCCAACTCGCAAAAATATTTATCCCTAAAGCATAAGTCATAAACCCCTAAAATCGTTCCAATTACTTGGAAATTCCCCTAAATTTTTTTTAAATAATTAATTACATGTTTTAATATTTTTTAAGGGGGTGGGTGGTCTCACAACGATAATTTTTAAACGGTTTTATTGGGAAACAGAAGAATCCAAAAACGAACTACATCTCTCTCCTATGACATTGACAATAATGACGTTGACATATGTAGCATGACTAACATAAAATTTAAATATTCCCGCTGAACACATTTTTAATACTTGTTGTTATTCATAAACGCAGTACAATCAAATGAAGTGAGAGACGAGAGTGGCGAATCGACGAGTGATCAAAACAAGTTAACAAGTGTCAATGTCAATCTCAAGTACTGACATTCGACATTGACACGTAAACAACAATCTTCAGAATCTTCTTCTTCTCCATTTGTATTTGTGGCCTCGCTATTCGGCCGTAAACAACAATCACATGACACATGACAATTATTGACACAATAGGCTCGTTTGGATTCTGTTTGGATTGTCCCAGGGCCTACTTTTACATTTTTATTTTTTGCAATAAAAAAAATAATAAATATTAAGAGTCAAAAATCCCTAAAAATACCCCTAACAATATAAATCCCCTAAAAAAATCCCTAAAAATACCCCTAACAATATAAATCCCCTAAAAAAATCCCATCCCATTTATTTACCCCCTAAATCTGGGGGGAAAACCCCCAAGTTGGCAACACTGTGTACCTGGAATTAATTCTTGGAACTAGGAAGTTAAGCTGAGCACATAAAGCCGGGCATTTAGACATTACACAGTGTCTTCCAAAACGTTTTATATTTATGAAAAAAAGTTTGTTTCTGTATACCATCTATATTTTACAAAATATTATGTTTGATTATGAATTTACAAGTGGTGCAGAACATTTTATCGAGAATAAAAATTGTTTTTTTTTAACAAAACTTTTTCTCGTGTATAATTTATGTCGCAATCTATTACACAGTGTAGTCCAAAAAGTTTTATACTCGTGAGAAATTTTTTTTTTTTTTTCAAAATAACAATTATTTTTGATAATAAGTTCTGCATCACTTGTGAATCCATAATAATACATTTTTAATAATAATCCAAATTTTAAAAATGTGTCAAAATCCTTTTTATCAAATTTTAAACAAAATGTCCGTCCGATGTCACGTTTTTTGTTCGCACGATAAGTCAAAAATGATATCAAAATTTCAAGAAAAATCAACCTCTATAAGGGGACTGAGCCTATTGATTTTGAAAAAACTTAATAAAAACTATGAAGAGTATAATATAGAGGGTGTTACGTGAAATTAATTTTAAATTTATTTTTAACAACTTCTCCATAACCCCTCGTAATGACAAAATTTCAACGACGACCGCTCGCTTCTCTGGATTTACAAAGTAAGCCTTGCGCGTGTGCATCGTTACATTCACGCTGGGGAACTATAAAACCGGCTGGCGTTGCTTTGACCGGCCTATCAAGACTAAACTGCCTAATAGGACGCAAGAGCAAACTATTACTGCAGAAAAAAAATGAGGCTCATACAGGCAGTCATTATACCTATCCTCATGTATGCCTCGACGGCATGGGGATACACCTGTAAAACTAACAGGAAGAAGATCCAAAGCCAGCAGAACATCAGCTTGAGATGGGCCTCAAATGCCTATAGATATACAAGAAATTACGTAATCAGGAGGGATCTAGAATCCAAAAGGGTCCTAGACCTCATACATAAGAAGGCCACGGACACCTTCGAAAAACTAAGGACTCACCCGAACATAGAAATAAGAGAACTTACAGAATATGAGAGAGCGGACTACAGAAGACACGCCAGACTTCAAGAGTCTCATAGATTTAAGACGACTAACCACCTGGGGGAGAAGGTCCCCCCAGTCGCCTAGTAGGAGACTGGGGGAGCTTTCACAAGTGGCAACTTTCACAGAACGTGCACACACAAGACAAACAAACGGACGACGAAATAGAGAAATGCCCTCAGCAAACCCTGTCTAAATGCTGATATGTCATCCTTCACAGCCCTTTAAGAAGGAATGGCATACTTATCATAGGATGGAAAATTGAGGCTCCCTGTAGCGAAGATGTCAGGGGGGACGGTGGGTGTCAGGAGGGTTCCGATCCAGTTTAACAGGATGGGCACCTTCCCGACTTGGGCTCAATTACTGTGTGTGTGTTGACCGGCCTCTTTTGTTTATCGAATTCAAAACTCAACGTGGTAGGGCTGTGTCGACAAATCTACTAGTTTGTAGTTATTATGAGTAGATTTCCGTAATTATCTTGTGTCTTTCCGTATCGTGCTACCGTTGGGATAATTGTCAGTGGCTCCAAACTCCAAGTTTCCAAGTAATTTTCGACGTAGCTCCAAGTTTCCACGTAGCTTCCAAGCTCAAGTAATTTTCGACGTAGCTCCAAGTAGTTTCGAATAAGCTCCAAGTTTCGAAATAGTTTTGAAGTAGCTCCAGGTTTACAAGTATCCAAGTAGTCTCCCAGCTACAAGTTTCGAAATAGCTCCAAGTAGTTCCGAAGTAGCTCCATGTAGCACCAAGTCTCGACATACCTCCAAGTCTCAACATAGCTCCAATTAGTTCCAAGTACCTCCAACAGATTCCGAGTATCGGACAGACTTCATCTACCCAGGAGACGATCATACAGGGTAATGCCACATGGTCGAAACAAAGAAAAATTTATCAACATTCAAGTTCATTCAATTTTTCAATAGTCATTAATCGTTAATTGTGTAACGAGCATTGCATTCTTTTCATTAAATGTATTAAATTTTCTCATTTCCTTTTGTTTGCCTGAACTCGTAACGGATAACTTGAGGTACCAGAGACCGACTCAATGAAACAGGGCATGTAAAATCACATAGTTTTCTATAGTTTTTACTCAAATACTTGGTAGCGCTCAACATTCTTTTGTCGTTATAGTATTATAGTATCTTTCATTTTATCGTAAAGTAGGCTTGGCTCGCGAACCGGTCAAGCTACTCTGATTTTATTTGTCCTGGTCAATTTATGAATCCAAGCAGTACCAGCAATTTGAGCTAAATCACCTCTTAAGTATAATTTACATCGTAGAATTCAAATAGAAGGTAACAAGTGCCAAACATATATCTTCATTCTAGTTTAAATTTATTTTTGTTTTTAAGTTTAAATGGTGTGTATGGTACCAATGCCTGTCATCGATGACGTGCATTAGATTTTATATTGAATCCAGTATATTTGATATTTATTGAAAACGGATGTGTATTTATTTGTTTTTATAGATTGGTCAGTATCTTATGATACTTCCTCAGCATATCGAGCCGTTTTTGTTCAAAGAAAACCCATCATTGGCATGCGCATTAAGGTCTGTAGATCAGGAATATAGCAACGCGCCCGAAGGTGAAGGCACATTGGCTCAAGTGTTTCTCGAAATCATTGCTAGAGGCACGTGTCAGCATTTCTGTGATAAGATCCTGTCGATTTTTGAATTAAGTCCTGCTGCAAGTCGACAATTGGCGCATGATATAAGTGAGTAAATATTATTTCTTTTTATTTATTAGCTATTCTGAACTATTTTTAATCAAGATGATTATTATTATTGTCATGAAAAATTTGGCCCCCTTTCCAAATTTAAAACTATTCATTTTTCTTTTCTGTAGCAGTTATACGTCATCTGGGTTACTCGCGAGTATTGCTAGAATTGTTCTGAAATGAACGTTCTTTTTTATCGATTCTTGTTTGTTCTGATCATGTACTCCTTTCTCTCCTCAAGCACTTGCTCGATAACAGGTACACAAAGCTCTTTCTTGTCTTGTCTATTGTAGACCGTTATGATTATTTTTTTATCATCATAGTGATTCATACACCAGTAACATTAAACCAAACCGTTAAAAAGAATGTTTTCATTAAATCACCTATGCAAAAAATAGGGAATTATAGACATTTTTTTTAAATAATACTTTTGAACATTCTAGGAGATTTTAAAAAATAGTGTTTTAATATGTACATATAATATGTATATAATAAATTAATTGTAAATATGACTTTTTATTTAAGGCTATCTTCAAAACATTTTGGAGGAGCTTGGATTATCCCTATCTGAAAATCTTCAACAATTATCGATACTATTAAAATTGCCTACAGACCTGTACCAATCACAAAGCAGTGGCTGTTCTGCAAGGTTAGTTGCTGCTGTAAGGCAGATGAGAAACATAAAGTCATCAAATTAAAAAATAATTTCTATATCTATGCGTCTATTTAATATTGTTAAAAATATATAAGAATAAATATTTATCTATATGGGTGCTGATTTATCCTGTTTTGATTTGTGCCTATCCTTTTTTCCCTCATGTTTTCTTCAACATTCAGTTACCAAGCAATCCGCTGATACAAAATAAATTTTATTCTTGAGAAAATAAATTGTGTCAGCTTGCGTAAATTCTCTAGCATAGCAGTAACGATTAAATCCCGTTATTTTTACTCATTTAAAATAATAATCTTATCAACTTGTGACGCCTGGAATTTCTGTATCTCCGTCTAAGGCTACCCAAGATTTTTTGGAACCTTATCAAAATGTGGACCTTATTTATATATAGAATACAGAGTGATTTGATAAAAAAATATAAATTTGATGTACTTTCCACAGATTTTTTTAAATAGCCTGGACAATAAAAATATTTACGAATATCGGCACTATTAACCTACATAATGCTGCTATATAAAAAGATAAAATGTGATCCACCCTGAATACCTAACGATTAATAATTATTCTTAGCTAAATTTAAATTAAAAGACTCACCCTGTGAAGCCGTACATTCCGCCTAAAACAACGTACAACAAAAATAAAATTAATTCACTAAAATATTATGTTATGTAGTAATAATTTGTTTACAGAAAAAGCAAAATTTAAATCAAAATACCATTTAAAGCCGCCCATTCCTGCACCATCCTCTGTTCCATGTATTGTTCCAAAATGTCTTACCGATTCTACATAATATCCATTGTTCCCAGTAGATTTAAACGCGTCCGGAAAATCTATACACGACGACATAATCGATCATCGGATCACGTTCAATTCTATATCAACCCTTCGATACGTAGATGTATCTCTATAGTATATCTGCAACCTTGTCCATTTGATCCTGGAAAGTACATCCCATTCTAAGAACAAACGTCTTTATTGTCAGAGGTGAAATGAACATGAGCTCGGACCATAGCTATCGTGCAACCGATTAACTTTCGAGAAATTTACGGCGATTTAATTTTGTTTTAACAGAGATTCTTTGACAGGAAAAACAACAATTAATATGAAATTTAGACAATAATAATAAGCGCTGATAAATACCGGTGTTGTTTCACGATATCTTAACACTAAAACTGGGTTTTTAAGTTAACAATATTATTAATACATATCTATGTAGATAATGTTTAAATGAATAAAATCAGAAGTTGATTAATTTTGTGAACAAAGCATATAGGACCGTTTTTTGCCTAGAAATATCCAAAAAAAGTTAATATAAAATGGACGCCAGTTCTTGCATTGACTCCTTGAAATTCTCCCAAAGTTATAGGTATCGCAAATAGTTAATTTAATTACGCTTACGTAAAGATGAAAAGATCTAAATTTTCATTTTCTGCTGTATTCCATATATGATCGACCTGTTCACGTATTTCGAATATTCACTGGAACAAGATGATCTCAACTTATACCTCACATGGCACAACAACAGGGGAATTAGTTTTAAGAGATGGTTACTTTAGGATTTCAACCAATGAAAGCTCGACGTTTGAATCGCTGACTAATCGAGAATGAAACAAACGACGCCGAAATGTAGTCCTATATAACCTCTAAATCGTTTGTAACATAAAGTTTGTTAAATAAGCCAGATTTACAATTTTAATTTAACAAAAATCGTGAAAGGTAGGTATTCAAGTTGATAATCTCAACAGCGGTGACACAATTTCTGAATTTCGTTATAGAATGGGGTTACCACTGCACTGCTGTCAACAAGTGAAATTAGTTTTGAAACTGCGATTAATGGATCAATATGAAAATTTGACTTGTCTGACATTCTATTTTTTATTTCACATAATTTTACCACATCATTCTGAGTGATCATTGCCAAGTACGGAAGCATCTCCATATCATGGGGCTGTCAAAATCGGCACTCTGCAGAGGGTGCGAACAAGATGAGACCGTCGAGCATATCCTTTACGATTGCTTGACGCTCTCATTTATTAGAAGATTTGTGTTCGGCGAGTATCGGCCAACACCGGCCGATATAAGAGAAGCACCTCTTGGCGACTTTGTCAACTACATTAAATATGTAGGTTGGCTCACTCGCTAGGAGGTACCTATCATCTTAGAAGGATGCACAATGGGTCTAAGTTCCGTGGGGGTTAATCCACCCTCCACACGTTACAATACAGATACCACACCACAGCTTTGCTATGACATGGTATGGATATATGAACGAGTGTGATGTAAAGTAAAATATGTGTCAATGATCTTAATATCTATGCTACCTTTGTAAATGTATGATGGTATTTCATTTGGGCTAGTAGATTTTTTGGTTTGAGTTGTTTAATACTCTAAATGTTATTTCAAAGCTGAAGCCACAGTATTCCTAAATTAATCTAAATAGTGTGTCTGTCATTCATATAACTTAAAATCAAATGCACTCGTGTTTAAAACTTATTAAGGCCCAAGGAAAGGAAAAAGAGAAGAAAATCAATCAACATAATAATTAAAAACGTTTTTTATTAAAAAAATACAATTATACTTAAATGACTTCCGGCGTCCATAATTTAAATGTTCTGTCATAAGAACTGCTAACTATATATTGATCATTAGGTGCTATATCCATACACATAATTTTTCCATCATGGCCAGACAACGTTTTCAAAGGTTGCCACGTTTTGCTGGTCCATATTTTTACTGTGTTATCATATGAAGCCGTCGCTAAATAATTGCCAGTAAATTTCTGAAATTTAACATCCGAGATCAAATTCGTGTGTGCAGGTATTGTGTACAAAATGGATCGTTTCCGTAAATCCCATATTTTGCAAGCATTATCTTCACTAGCTGTGGCTATATGATGACCATTAGATGAGAAATCAATTCCTAATATGCCTTTTAAATGACCTTCCATAAACATAATGCATCTCCCTGTCCTAAGATCCCATACTCTACCAAAAGCATCCATTCCTCTAAAATTTAAAAGAATAAGAACATCAAAGGGGTAAATTTGTTGTATTTCTTACCCAGTAGCACAAACAGATCCATCTCCTTGAAACGATATACAATATACTGGTTTGACATGTCCCTCTTGATGTAGAACTTCTTGACATTGATGTAAGTCCCATAATCTCCAAGAATTATCAAAACAACAAGTTCCTAGAAATCTCCCTGATGGATGAAATGCTATTCTTGACACTCTATGAGGCATATGGCCTTCAATATCGGCAATAGGTTCTTCGCTAAAATATGTAAACAGTATAGGTAAGATAGAATAGAAAATAAATAAATACAAATGAATCAGTTCTACAGAAAACTTATTCAAAAATTGAAATTCTTTTAGAAATCGCGATTTATATAATTATTCTATAAAATCAAATAAATCAGTTACAGAACTTGCAGATATATTTTATAAAAGAACTCTATACAAATCTTGTTGAGTTAGTTACCTTACAAAATCCCACAATTTTACAGATCCATCTGCTGCACATGAAGCCATATTGCAAATTTTTTCCTCTTGGTCAAGGGTGGCCTTTGGATGAAATACTATTGCACCGACATTACATGTATGGCCTTTTAATGTTTGTTTTAACTCACAATCTGGAATTGACCATACTTTACATAAACCACTCCTAAAATTAAATACATGATTGGTTATTGTGTAAAAAATGGCAACTCACATAATTTCTTACCAGGATGCTGTAGCTAACAGTTCAGAATTTGGACTAAACTGACAATATGAGATAGGTCTGGTGTCTCCAATTTGACTACAATAGATGGACATTGCTTGAATTTTCTTCTGTAACTCTTGAGTTCTTGACGTTTTAGTTGCAGCTGGTAAATCAAATTGCCTTCTAGCTTCCTCTAATCTTTCTTTGGCTCTTGGTAATGAATATTCAGCTATCCATAATCTAGCTATTCTTAATGACTCTGGTCCTTCATGGTACCATGTTGTTTCTTGATCTTTTTCATATAGTTTTCTTTCTTCTTCTGCTTCTCTTCTTATTACTGCATCTTCTCCTATTCTATAACATTCAAAACTTATTAGCCAGAGTATTGCAGATTTGTGAATATAATAATTATAACATAATCAAGGAATAAAATATAAAAAAAATACTTTGAATGAGTAGATAAATAAAGTTGTGATAAGTAACAAGAAATGACTGATGAAAATAATAAATGGAAAATAGAGTGCTTATGAGAAAATATTAAAGAGAAAACTACTTCAGTTCAAAAACAAAATAATATATAATTAGAGAATGTATTTACTTATATGATGAAAAAAGTGAGGAAGGACAAAATATATGAACAAACAAATAAAATAGATCTAGATATAAAAATGTTAAAAACAGTGTTGGAATACATAACAAATAACTTGGCAAGAAACAGAGTTGTAACAAGATAAGAAAAGAAGTAGGTAAGATCCAATGTAGGATGGACTCTGATCAACATAGAATGAAAATTGATTTAGAAGCTTCTAAAAAGCATAATTCTACCCAGGGAAGTTTAAATGTATATACACAATGTTTTTATTAAAAGATGTAGACATACCGACTTAAAATATCCCTTAAACGCGACCTTCTGTCAGCAGGACCTTCCCCAAAAAGGCAAATAGGTTCGCCTAGTTGCCGCAAATTTCTTTTAACTTCAGCATCATCAGTGGATACATTTATTGATCTTGCTTTTCTTCGTCTTTCAAATTCTTCAAGTAAAGCTTGCTTATCTCTAGACATAGCATCTTCAAGTTCCATATACTCTAAAATGTAAAACAAATGCAAATTCAGTCTCACATTTATCGACATTATTCTTTATTAAATTATTAGTTTCATTGAAATCCATCTACTTACCTGATGTCTCTTGAACAGGGGAATTAGCTGCAGGAGCTGAAGATTGAGCATCATTACTTTCTTCATTTTGAGCTTCAATTCTAGCCTTTTCAGAATCTTCTAGAGATCCATAGTGAATGGTTTTTGTTTTCTTAACATACTGAATATCTTCTTCATCAGACATAATTTATTATTCTCTAAAATATGGATTTTTTTTAGTTTTCGTAGTGATATTCTTGTTATGTTTACTCGGTGTTTGTTTTTAACTAACCTAAAAACAAAAATAATAACCTAGAAAAAATCTTTTTCTTCAATTTTTGGAGGCCTCAGCTGCCAGGGCTATTCGGTCTATACCTGAGAAATAATATAAAAAAAGAAGAATTATGCCGGTGCCAAAGATATATGATTATATAGATTGATAATCCATATCTAAATACAGGATACTGACCATAGATTGGGGTAATATGAAAATGACGTTTCACGCTTGTCAAAAGCACACGAAGAAAAGTAGCTGAGCGTAATGTTTCGATCAGCAGCAGTGGGATTATCATCTTCCAATACAGCATATATCAAAACGCCTATCTTCGTTCGACAGACTGTGATTCGCATGTAATGGGGTCTATTCTGTAACAATTAGGCATTCCAAACTGAATGACTACCAGTGGGTTTTGACAGGTTATAATGTGGCAAAGTTATGGCAACTCTGTAGGCCTGGTGATTTGACAAGGTGAGTGAAATAGATAGTTACATAGATTGATCATCCCTATTTTTTAAAATAAACATAAGCTTATGCCTTGAAGTAAAAATATAAGCAATTATTATTTTTTAAATATCTAAAGTCTGAAAATTGGTTTTAAAACACATTTTTGCTAAACTGATTCAAATTAATAAATATTTGCCAGGCAATATGGCTGCTCGCAAACGACCAGCTTTGAGCAATGTATATAACATATATGTATCATTGACCCTGTTAATGACAATATGACAACAGGGTTGCCATATCTAAACTGTCAGTACCCACTGGTAGCCATTTGGACAGGTCGTTGGAATGCCTAATTCCTTTATATTTAACGGCCTTTAAAAATATTTTCTTCTTTACTTCTGTCATTATTTAAACGGATCTATAAAATACATTAGAGGACTATCTTAAAGAAATCTGTTTAAATAATGACAAAAGTAAATTAACGAATACGAAAATGTTTTTAAAGGCCGCCAATATTTTTATGGCCGTTAAATATAAAGGAATTGTTACAGAATAGACCCCATTGTCTCTCTATTCAACACGTAACGCGTAATGAACTGAAGTGGCGAAGAAAGCCAATGTGCAGATTGTATCAATGAACTGGAGTGGGGTAGAATGCTTGTCAGTAGGCTTGAGATGCGACTCTATGGGCGAAGACAGGTTATTTTTCATCTCACTCGGGAGTATTTATAACGACCATTTTCTATTTCACTTTGTTATTGTCTGATCCACCAGCTTGTGGATTGAACAATAACAATGTGAAACAGAAAATGGTTATTATAAATACTCCCGAGTGAGAGAAGAAATAAAAATTGCAGCTCCCATAGAGTCGCATCTTGTTCTATTGATATACAATATGCACATTAGCTTTCTACCCCACTCCAGTTCATTGGATTGTATCAATAGAACAAGGATGCGACTCTATGAACGCAGCCATTTTTATTGCTCATCTAACTCGGGAATATTTATAATAAAATGGATAAGACATTATATCTTGCATACCAGTTTTCAACTTCATAGAAGTAAATATAATTTGATCCTTTACAGACATAACTGTTCTCTTTTTCCTATTCTTTGGAAACAACTCTGCCACTAATTTCACAATGGTGTCTAATAACTGGAAGGATTGCAACCCTGTTAAAGTAGATAGTTTGCAAGTAGCCATAACTCTTGTTTTTGCTGGATTCCTTTTCTTTTTATTATTGTCATGACTTAGCTGAGGCAAATTTAAACTAAGTAGGTACTATGTAGGTACTGCAGTAGACACAGGCATATGTTTCTTCTTGTTTGGACCTACAAAACATAAATTAACAGATCAAACAATTCATATTAGAAATGTAACAATATTTAGTTAATAACTAAAATTAATATTAAAAAATTACACACCTGGATGGATGGAATCCTTTTTTGTAAAGTGGTGAGAGCTAACTCACATACCTATTATTAGTAATAACTGCCTTTCCCATTTTCAATTTAATTATCCAAACCTTTTCTTTGAAGTGCATTTTCCATTGCTCCAAAGCATTTTTTTTTTTTAATTTCAATACTATCAACGGAAGGAAATTTATGAAAAGATAAATTGGAATTATTTTCCCTTTTCTACTACTGTAACCAAATACACAAAAATTTCGATTGTTTGGTGCCATTTAACAATAATTTTTTGTAGAAATATCTCGCTTAAAATACAATTAATAAGATATTCACTGAAATCCAACTTCAAAAATACAACCAGAGACAAAACAAAACACTTACCAGCTTTATCGTATTTAAAGAACGGCCGCTGAACATTTTCAATAAAATGGATCTTCTTTAAATAAATAGGAGACCAAAATATACAAGCATACTCGAACGAGATCTAACAAACGCATTAAACAATAAACGATGTAATATAACTTTGTTTATTTATAAATTAATTGCAATTTCTGAAGATCATGCCAATAAGGTTGCGCTTTGCAGTCGATTTCATTATAATGTTGGTCAGATTTTCATTGGCGGAAGCTTATATTATGCACAGGAAATATTCGTTTAGTTTTATTTTTGATTTATCAACTCATTCACATTCACCGTCGAAATAATCCATAATTGTCCAAAGGGAACAAATTTTAGAATGCTAAAAAGCTCCTTACTTTAAGTAAAATCTTTAAAAAGTTCATTAAATTTTTGCATATCTGCTTTTAAAATGCGAAATAAATTTTAAACGATAAATCAAGTGTTCAAATAGTGTCACGAGTGCCACTATACAGTGGCCTAAAGTTAGTTACATGCACCTCTTATTAAAGATGTTTATACAGGAGTGTAAATCTATATTCAAAATTGTTTAGATCTCTTAAAATGTTTTGAAAATATGTAACTAGACTTTACGACTTAAACAAATTTATATTCTTTTTCAAAATACCTAACGCAAGCTCCTGTCTTGGAGTAAACATTCAGGAATTTTTTTTTTTTTTTAATTCAATTCTTACTTTGATGAAATATGAGTTTTAAACTCATTTGGGCCAGACCGATTCTGTCTGGTGAGCACTCGGCAAGGTATGTCGTCTTGTTTATATGGATAAGCAGTCTATATAAACCATAGCCCTCAGAAAGTCTAGATACCGCTTGGCGTATACTGTCAATACAAAAAAATGACCCCATTCAAGCTTGTCGCCATGTTAGGTAAATTTATGTTTTGGCTACACTGATTTTTAGTTTGTGTGTTCTGTAATACGTGAACACCGATAATCTGCACTTTGTTATTAGTTATAAGTGAGTGAGACGCACAATTTCTAATTTCAAATTAAGAACAAAACTTTGACAAACCTATTTGATTTTCCTAGATCTGTTCAGACAGGACCGGTTTTATAAAATTTCTCGTTCTTGAAATGTTATTTTTACATGGTTATATATTATTGGATAAGTGGTTTGTGTACATATTGCTATGAGAATTATAGAGAAATTCAGTGAGATTTATGTAATATAATTCAAATTACAAGTAAACCATCTGTTCCTGTTTGGCAATATGGAGAAAATACCTACTTCAATGTCAACTGTACTATTTAAAAGAATGTGATTGTTAACCGGTCATTTATTTATATTATATTATGAAAATAAAAACTCGAATTTTTTAACTAGGGAAAGATATACTTACATCGGTAACAAGTTATTTTAAAAATTTGATAAAAAACTAGTGGAACAACAAATGGAGTTGTCGCTATCGGAGATCCAATCAGCAGAAAGTAAAAAAAAAACTTTGGGAATGTTGGAAAAGGGCCCAGCAATAGGCCCAAAACAATTCCTTGGTTTTTTAATAAATATAATCTGAGATGCAAAAAATACCGCTAGAGTGGAGAAGCAGTATTGTTCTAATGTAGAAAACTCAGGGACATACAGCAGTGCACTAACCATAGGCGAATAGTCACTAAATTATACAAGAGTCCCATCTCGATTTTATTTTTAAATATTTTTGAGAATACCTATTATTATTTGTTACATTGAGTTTAATAAAACCACAAATTTCGAATGTATTGAAAGTTATTTAAAAAGTACTTCTATAAATATATAGAAAATGTGTATATGACTAACTGGTTTTATTAATCTTTTTTTGGGGTAGGTAAATATATTTTGAAAAATTTACAAACTTCTTTTGAATAAAAGACAAAATATTTCTGTTTTTATTAACTGAACAATATTTTATACGAACATAATATATACCTATTTAAAAGAAAATATTACATTTTACAAGTATCGCATATTTATATGAAATAACTTACTCAATAAGAAAGAATTAAATGAAACAAATTAATAAACAATGGATATGAAAAATTGCTTTAACAATTTAATCCTTAGATAAACTTATTCTTACATATTGCTTTAATCAATTTATTTACTATAAAAGTATATTTCCTATCATTTATTACATATAATAAAATAAAGCATAAAACATACAAACTGTAATATGTACCTACTTAGAACGGAACTAATATTATTGTATCAAGGTAGTAATAGTGGACATTTTCCGAATAAAAAAAAGTAAAAAAGAAGTAACGGTCGACACGATTTTCTAACTATTAGTCTTCATCAGTACGGTGCAGCCAAGTTCAAAGGATCATGGAATTTGTGTTGGAAAAATTGTACAATAGGTCACTAACCAGGAGCCAATAACACATTTGCCGTTTCAGCTAGTATCCCCAAATTTTCTGGGCTTATACTAAAGTCACAAAATGATTCAATGGTCTTCCTATGGCTATCAGTTATTCTTTCCTAACGTTTTTTGGTATGCTACAACAAAACATACAAATTATTTGATTTTGTAAATACACAAATATTTGTGAAAACTTACACATGAAATGTTATTCCTTCCTTGTATCTTCTACCGTTAGATGCATTGTTACATTCACGTACAAAACAAAAAGAGATTTTGAAAATCCTGTAAAAATTTAACACCAAACCACAAATGTTTTTTATTAAAATAAAACACTAAACGACTAAACTAAAAAATAATGTTTTAAATAAAACCTTTACTAGAAGAACAAAATAAACAACACAACAGATAATAAAATCGATTATATACGTCGAACGCCGATCTTACGCTTATTCGGCTTATTACTAAACTTGCGCCGATTCTGTCTTGTCAGTAGGGCCAACTTAAAATTTATTGACATTTATTTATCATGGCGCCCATCATATGGGGGGTCAAAATGTTTTTACGATGCGGTATCTAGACCTTCTGAGGGCTATGATATAAACTATATATGGTATTGAGGTAACGGCTCCATCTACGGAAGAAAAGTAAAATTTTTTAATTTATTTCCAAAGTGTTCTGTTTGTTAAATAAATATTTTTTTAAATTTTGTCCCTACATCTTCATTTCCCATCTTTATCTAAATGTTTTTTTCGAAAAATCAAAGAGAGAGACAAATAGCATATGTTACCATAGGAAGCCTGGTTCTGTGATGGTTATTCTAATTTATGTCTGTTAAATTGACAAAACGTAAATTAAAAATTAAAACCTATGATAGATGACTAATTAGGTATAATATTAAGATTCTATTCGTCATCGGTATTTATTTAGTGGAGAATTATACTTTAAAAGTTTTGTTTGACTTTGAAATGCGATGCGATCATTGAACTTGCCACTCATTTTCTGTTTCTTTTCCTATGATCAAAATCTCTCAAGTTTATAAAAATAAATATGAAGAAAGGCCCAATTATCATTGGTACAGTCAGAGTAACTAGTAAAAATTTTGACCCCGTTTTGAGTTTGCGTTATTGTCTATTCATTGCCTATTCGATGCCGTTAGTTTAGCCTAAAAAGATAGTTGTTTCTTGAAAGTTATGACGACGGTCTTTGCGTCCGCCGCTTAGGTTAAAGCTGGCGAAAATGTAGAAAATATTGGATATTTTTTAAGTGCATTTTTTAAGACGAACGTGTATTGATTTGGCCCAAAGGCTTGGCCCGGCGAATATACGGACTATACATGGTTTATAGGGATCTTACGTGGTTTCTATTGGTTCACTGAGTCATAAAAGACATAGGGACACATTTTTTATTGGAATTTTCCAAATGACTGAACATTTACATACGCGTCTCCAAATTTTGAGAAAAGGTCATCGAAAGTTTAAAGTGTTTTTGTTATGAACGCAATGAATTATAGGTGTGTGCAGTGTTTGGTGAAATGTTACAAAATTTAAAATCTAGAAATATGAAGTTATTAAAAAGTTTCTAAAAAGACTGCAAGTAATATCGATTTTTTTTCTGTTTTCAAGTTCTTTTTTGTGCGTTTCGTAATGATATATCGTGAATTTATGGTGTAAATAGAAGAACATAAGAATAACATTTGTTTGTTTCCAAAACATAACCAAGAAATAGTGAAAATGTTGCCTCAACAATATTGTTTGAGATGGAGATACCATCATTCGAATTTACAGACTATGTTTTCTCAGCTTTTAGAACGCGAAGCATTCTGTGATGTTACTTTAGCTTGTGAAGGAAGAACAATAAAAGCTCATAAGATTGTTTTATCAGCATGTAGTACATATTTTGAAACTATACTATCCCAATATGAAGAAAAGGACCCTATACTTATCATGAAAGATGTAAAATACGTAGATATTAAATGCTTAGTAGAGTTTATGTACAAAGGAGAGATAAATGTCGAACATGTGAGTATATCTAAAGTTATAGAAATGTAAAATTCCCCATTATTATTTACTACCCACTACTATTTACCAATTTACCATGGCTATCAAGAATTAATATATCATGATTAAGAAATTCCTGTTTACTAAGCTTTCCATGGTCTATTTCTGTTAAACACCTGTAAATTATCGAATCATTTGAAGTATAATTCTAAGCTTAGCAACTAATTGAAATAAGCTTATTTTATGTCTTCATATTGGATATACCTAGTTAATGAAATAGAAATACTTTATTCTCAGTAATAAATAATATACAGTGATGGCTATCAAACATTTTCCAATATGTTTTGAGTATGTCCAAGTGAAAACTACAGAGAGTTAGCATTTAGGAAACGTTTCCTACACTCACTAATTCTAACTCTGTAGTTTTCTCTTCAACGCTAACAAAGAGTACTTATTGGAAGTTGTTCAATAGTCAATATTGCATAAAAATGTTTACATAGTCGTCAGTACTTAAACTCCTAAATAGTTACATCCATTTATAATACTGGTAAAATAATTACACACCATTTTACATACTGTCAGTATACAAGAGAAGGTGACCAAGTCCTAAATTTTAAATTTTTTACTTTGTAATGCCCATGTACCTTAAATTCAATATTATTTATAAGGAAAACATAAACAACTCGAAAAATGCCATAAAAATGCTTATAATTTAAAATTCCATAATGACAAAGTCTTTTTGTAAAAATATGTACAGGAGAAAATGATTAAAATACTAATAACTCAAAACAACTGTTCAGTGGACTTACTTCTTATACTAACGATACATATATACTGAAATAATAAACTATCTATTGCTTAGCCAAAGGTAGTTTTCCAGATAGTTTTAAAATATCCAAAGTTCTACCATGTTCCATTAAATACATATTATATCATGTTTTTCTAAAATACTAGAAAGTGTTATAGTAAAACAAATTGTGCCTTTCTTTGAGAACTTGTTTTCTGCTGAACAATATGGTTTTAGACATAAAAGAACAACTACTGGCTAGCTTTAATGAATTAACATTCAGGAGTCTTTGGAAAATAAATCACATTGCTATATTCACTGATGTTACTAAAGCATTTGACTGTGTAAGTCACAAATTGTTAATCAACAAACTAGATAAATGTATCAGTAGAGTTGCAAATAAGATGATTGCTTCTTATTTGCAAAACATACACAGTGTATATTACAAAAATTAACTTACTAAACCTTTAATAATGAAAAGAGGAGTCCCAAAAGGATCTATACTAGGACCTCTATTATTTTTAATATACACTAATGTTCTTCCTTTAAATAACATCAAATTATTAACTACTATGTACACAGATGATACCAATTTCTCCCATAACTGTAACAACACATCTGACATAGTTATCAAAAACTGTAATATTATGACTGAAGTTGAGAAATTTCACTTGTCACTCAGATAATCATACATAGGCATCTGCTTTCATAATGCACTTTCACCCCACATCTGTAATTTACTAGGAAAAAAGTTTAAAAATATATTACTGGATGTGCCTATATAGATTATTTTGTTAGAGTAAAACGCGTCACTTAATATTTTTAATAATTGTAATATTTTTATATCTCTTATTACTATTACCAACCACTATGATATTTTAAAATATTTTCAGGCAGTTCTTTAATAAGCAGCTATTAGAATTAGATACATAGATGTCATATATACCCTCGAATGTTTTGTATGTCAAATTCAGTAAAAGGAGCAAATAAAAGTGATTGGTAATGTTTTTGGTTACAACAAATCAGGTAAATCAGTTTTTCAAGAGAACATAGCATCTTGTGTGTTCTTTGAAGCTTGAAAACCAAATTGACAAGTAGATCAAATTTGGTCTTTTGTTAGGCATTCAATTATCCTACTTTTTACAAGCCTTTCAATGATTTTATATAAAGTAGGAAGTAATGAATTTGGTCTAAAAGTTGAAGGATCTTCCAAGCCGCCCCCTTTGTGTTGTGGTACAACAATTGCATTTTCAAACATGCCAGAAAAGTTCCTTTAATAAACGATAGGTTAATTGCATCCACTAACTCATACAGAGTACTTTCTGGAAGATTCTAATTTTTTATATAGAGATTCCATCATATCCTGCAGCATTTTTGTTTTTTATCCTTGCTATTTCTATTAACTTTATTATATTACTTAGTGGAGTAAATATGACAGTCATCTGTTATATTCACATCTTCGATATATTTTAAAAGATAATTAACAGTGAGCTTAGAGGTAAGCTCATCAACAATTGTCAAAAAAACTCGTTAATCTAATCAGGACTTAAATTGTAGGCAGCTTTAAAAAAATTGTCTTTCCTCAAAGCTTGTTTGTAATTGCTCAGTTCTCTTTTATGCTATTATTGGAGTTTTGTATCCTGGAGTTGAAATATCTAACTTTGGTCAACTTTATTGTTTTTTTTTTTTATCTTTTTATATTTATTTAGAAAGTAGATGAAACCTTCATTTGTTGTCTATTGGCAGATGACTAGTAATGATCTCAAATTCCTGGCGATGTCTTTATTCCTGTTGTAATCCATGGTTTTTTCTTTTTATCTTTAATTCTTTTTCAACATTTTTTAAAATCATCTGATGTATCATTGAAAGCAGATCAAGGTTATATGATGAAATAAATCAACTAGTTTTCTCGCATTCAGTTTGGATTTTTTTTTGTAGTTTTTTTTTACTGAATATTCTACCTAATCTGTGTTTTCCTGTAAAAATTACATTAATTCTTTTTGTTTTTTTTTTTTATTTCATTTGTAGGTATTCATATAACTCAAGTTTTTATTGCATTTTCTTTTAGGTTGAGGAATTAAAATGTTTTATAAATGTATCAAACTGTTTCATCTTCTTCATTTGCATTCGTTATTTTTCTCATGTTATGCCTGGTTTCATTTTGCAGAAAATTGTTAAGAATATTTATATTATTTTAAGAGAAGCAAGTCAAAGTATAAAATAGACAAATAATTGTTAAAAATCAGTGATTACATATAGTTAACAGAAAGTATTTAATACAAATAATGCGATGAGTAAAGAGTTTAACATATTTCAGATAAGTGGTATTCTAAGTATCATATTATTAGATTTATCAAAATATTACTTAACTAAGAAATTACCCAGTTTATTTGCTAATTAGAATTAAAAACTCTTATATCAAAATAGTGAAGCTTGGCAAAAAATACAAATGTCAAATAAGGCATCAGAGTACCTAGGCATATTGAGTTGAAAGCTATGCCATATTTTTAGGCTATTTTAAGGCTATTTTTATACCCTATTCAAAAATTTTATGCTCCTCGTTTTTTGTAAAAATCAAGATGCTTTGCTAGTCTTGAAAGAATTCAGCAGAGCACCTCAGTTTTTTTTTTTTTTTTTTTCAAAAATGACACCAAATTTTTAGGCTATTTTTAGGTTCTTAAAAAATTATAAAACTTTTCGAAAAAAAAATGATATTTTAAAAAAATACAGGGTGCTATGCTAGCTTCAAACAAAGCCAGCAGAGTACCTCGGTTTTTTAAAGCTTTTTTCTATTATTTATAATTAGCAATTTTTTAGTAAAGTTTTATAATATTTAAAGAGCCTAAAAATATCTTTAAAATGTGGCATAAGACTTAATTGTTTCAGAAAAAAAAATTATTAAACCGTGGCGTTCTGCTGACTTTGTCCCAACAAAGCTCATTGTATTATTTAAAAATAGTAATTTTTTAGTAAAGTTTTATATTTTAAGAGCCTAAAAAAAATGAGGTGTGGTTGTTTTTATAAAAAAGCTTTAAAAAACAAAGGTGCTCTGCTGGATTTGTTCGCAGCTAGCAGTTTTTTTTAAAAAGTTTTATAATATTCAAGAACCTAAAAATAGCCTAAAAATGTGGTGTGGTGTATTTAAAAAAAAAACACTATTTTTGTTTTTCAAAAAGTTTTATAGTATTTCAAGAGCCAAAAAATATCTTAAAAATGTGGGATTATATAATTCGATATGCTCTGCTGATTTTGTTCCAACTATTTAAAAATTACAATTTTATAGATAAGTTTTATATTATTTCAAGAGCCTAAAAATGTGGTGTGGTTGTTTTAGAAAAAACTGAGGCGCTTTGCTGGATTCTTTCGAAGCTAACAAAGCACCCTGTATTTTTTAAAAAAATACTATTTTTCTCGAAATTTTTTATAGTATTTCAAGAGCCTAAAAATAGCTTAACAATGTGGCATAAGTAGTTGTTTTCAGAAAAAAAAGCAATATGCTCTTTGTTCCACCAAAGCACCCTCTATTATTAAAAACTGGCATAAGTTTCATAATATTTCCAGAGCCCCAAAATAGCCTAAAAATGTGGTGTAGTTGTTTTTAGAAAGTTATAAAAAACAGATGCTATGATGGCTTTTTTTTTTTCGAAAAGTTTTATATTTTAGGATCATAAAAATAGGGTGTCCTTATTATTGAAAAACAAAAAAAACTTTAAAAAACTGAGGTGCTCTGTTGACTTCGTTTGAAGCTAGCAGAACATCTTGATTTTTGGATAAAATTTTTGAATATGGTATAAAAATAGCCTTAAAATCGCCTAAAAATGTGGCATATATTTCATCTCAAAATTGCCTAGGTGCCCTGCTGCCTCCTTTAACATAAAATACAAGATAATTGTAAAATATTAACTATATCTATATATTTGTGATTATATGTGATCATTGGGTGCAACATAATAATTATATTCATTAGAGATTAACTAATATCAAAGGTGTTCCACAGAGAAGTATATTTGGGCCCCTGTTATTTTTAGTTTATATCACTGACATTGTTGATGTCAAGGGTCGATGGGTCATTGCATCTGTTTGCTGATATTATATATTTTTCTTGTAAGGATGCATATAAATTAGTAAGAGTTTGTAAAACTGCAAAATGTTTATAAGTGGTATTGCTATAATTTGTTAAAAATCAACACAAATAAAACAAAATGTATGCTGATAAATAATAAGTACCACTATATGTAGTTTGTTGATAACACTTAAAGAAAATTCTATACAGTTAGTGGAAAAACATTCAAATATTTGGGGGTAATGATTGGGAGATGGATGAAATTCACAGACCATGCCAATACTGTAGTTAAGTTAAATTTCCTATTTAAAAGTTTACTTAGCTTATCACAGTGGACTAGCTGTATTATGTTTACAGTGCTTCTCAAAAGTCCCCTCCCCCCTATTTTCTTTTGAACAGTGATACTTAGACTGTTGAAATTTGGAGGGTGAAAATGAACTATTGTAAGCTTCTCTACTAGTGGTAACAGGTGACGTAATTGGCATCGGTAACGTCACCAGGCAACTGAGGTCAATAATATTAAATGGGACCTTACATCAAGTGACACCTCGTTTGAAAGGTATTAAGAATACTTATTCAATCATACTATTTTTTTTTGATTTACGATATTTTAGATGGTTAAAATAAGGTCCCATTTAATATTATTGGTATCACTTGCCTGGTGACGTCACCGTCACCTGTTACCACTTGTAGAGAAGCTTACAATAGTTCATTTTCACCCTCGAAATTTCATCAGTTTAAGTATCACCGTTCAAAAGAAAACAAGGGGTGAGGGGACTTTTGAGAAGCACTGTATATCATTCTACTTCATTTTAATTATTGTTCTTGCTATACCAACTCTTTTTTCTAAATCAAAAAGATGGTCGGTAGTGGGGTTTTCTTCACCTCTAACTCAAATGGGACCATCAATCATCTGTAAGTTGTTTGGAGCACCACAACATAAAATAATAGGCTTCCCTAGCACATATAAGCTCTGCTTCTGGGGTTAAAATCTACTCTTAAGAGGGTGAATTATAGAGAGAGTATTATTATACTGTTCAAATCATCCACACAGCCCTGCATTTACATAGGTAGCCTACCTACACATTCAACAAAATTCCATTAAATAGTAAGTAGTTTAATATGATTCATCTGTGGAAAGATTTTGTATAAAATAAATACAAAATACTTATATGCCTTATCTGAAACAAACAATACCAAAAATAACTGTGGGCTGATATATTACATGTGTATAGTTAATGCTGGAAAAATATTTTTCAATTCGAACAGCTGGTATTTTGTTTAGCTAAGTACCACTATTAGAGACACTGATGTATTCAATTATTCTCATAATTAATTATTTTTTTAATTAAATAATAAATTTTTTCCTTGTTATTTATAGTTTGTTGAGCCCTTTGGTTTTAGTTCTAATGAAAATATTTTTTTTATTATAGTTGCCTTAATTCCATAAGTACTGACAATTCTGTAAAAGTTTTTCTCAACATGTTACAGAGTACCTATTGATAGATTTTTATTACTTACTTCAATTTTAAATAATTTGTACACATATTGCACAATTATTGTGAATAAATATGCTAAGTGGAATGATATTTAAAATGGAAAATAATTGGTATTGTTTTGCAAAAAGCTACTTAGGTACCTAATAATGTTTTAAACTCCGGATCTTATAGCATAATGTAAATATTATTTGCGAAATTGGTATATAAGAAATCATCTTTGGGAGTTTTTCTGATGATTTTTGAAAAAAGTTTTTGAAAACAAAAGGACTTTGCAAGCTCTATAAGCACTTTTGATTTTTGTCTTCTGCTACTTATGCTATCAGACATAGTACTATTAATAAGCAAATAATGAATAAAACTAGGAAACATTATCTTTTATAAATGCAAATAATATATGAATTTGGCAAAATATTTCCATGTATGTCTTTTACATAAAATTAATTGTTTTTAATATACAATTCCCTATAAATTTGTATTAGGAAATGGTGATTTATTAGTAGATTCCCTTATATTGTATATAAATATATTTTTAGAAGAAAACAGACATTTCTAGAACTGACTTTATTGTTATTTAAACATCAACTCTGGCAATTCTTAACTAGTAGATTTTATACAAAAAACATTTTGGGAGACAGTGTGTACTGTAACTTGACAAACCGGGCCCTAACCTAGTTTTCCAAATACCCTTAACCTTGGCCTAAATTTCGTCTAGTGGATCCCCACGAATTGATGTTAAAACCCCCAGAATTACTTTGGAGTGAGGGTAGCCATATGTGAGTAGTAGGGATTAAGTGTAAGGGGTTAAAGAAAAGGTCCTTTATTTCTCACAAGTCAATTTAATTGGCGACCGGTTTCGAAGCTGGCACTTCATCATCAGGCACACCTTGACTATTTCCATAAAGGAAGCGCTACATAAAGTTTAACTCGTTTGAATGAATGAATATAAAAGTAATAAATTGATACATGTAACCCATCAATGTTAGTCTAAACTCTCTCCCGGAATGTATGAATATTAACTACTAGTTTGATTACTTTAATATTGCGATTATCGTTTTAATTCTGCGTAAAAGAAACCTTACAGAAAAAAAAGTATACAGCTGATAAAAGCGTCTACCTGGCGCAAGTTCGTCGGGTCAGCCTTAAGGGTGACGAAATCCACTACGAACGTCGCCTAGAGTAGTACTTTTAATCATTTAGTAACATTTTATAATGTTGAATCGGAGATATAAAATATCTGGCGTTTAACTATACTAGCGTGGTCTCACCAGTATCAGTTACGCCAATATTTTAGTCGCTCGGTAGATACAACCTTATAAAACAGTTCTAGGAGCGAAATCTGGTTCTATTCAACGTGTATCTGCTTGGTCAACCTGACTATATATATTCTTTTACTTATATATAAAATATAAGAAAAAGGTGGTCATCCTAAGGACAACTGGATATCTATGCAGAAGCCATCGTTTATAGAAACTAATTTCTCTACCCCGTCGATATCTTTTATTTCCCTTCTCAAAATATAACAAAAGCACGGCCACCGTAAGGGTAGCGATATCTCTTTTTAATTATATTTGAAGAATATAAAGAAAAAGGAGTCACCGTAGCGGTAACGTGGATATTTGCGTTTTTTGTTAACTTGACTCGGTGAAGATGAAAAAGCTAATCTTCCAGCCCACAAAAACCCTGGTATTTATACTTAAATTTCCCATATATGCAAATGTATCGGAAAGAGAACGACTGTGAATTCGGTGCATAAAGACTATAAAGCACTGTATTGATTCCTGAATATAGCCCTATCGTTTTACATCTGGTTTTTTAGCTAGCGGCCGTTACAGTTTACACGTCGATTTCTTTTCCCAGAAGTAATTAAACGGCGCCTACGAGTCGGGAGAAGCTGGGATGTTGTTTGAATTCGAAATAATAATATGTAATATATAAGAATTATTTAAATTTATTATCAACCCCCGGTTGTCGGATTTCAGTACATACCTACTAAATATAAATCCTAACACTATGTCTAGACATTCTGATAAAACTAGACTTTTCTTACAAAAGAAGACTTTTTTAAACCATATTCTAAAAATATTTTTATGCTTTTAGTGTCATCTTGCTACACTATTGAAAACTGCAGAGGAACTGAGAATAAAAGGTTTGGCTGAAGTGTCTTGGCGAGATGAGGAACAATCAAGTAACACAGATGCAAATTCGAATGGTGTACAAACAGCAATACCTCAAGTCCAAACAGTTATGCCAAACAGGTACATACATTAATACATATTTGATCTTAGAGTTATTAAAATTCAAAATGGACATCCACTATTTGAAGGTGTATTACATATTTACTTTTTTGGTTGTTAAAATTTTAACATATAATTATGCACAAAAATTAAAAACCTTTTAATTTTAGTTCCTTTATACCTAAATGATTGCTTAAGTGCTTAATACACAAGTTATTATTTTTCTCTGTTAGTCCCACTCCTTCGACGAAGAAAAAAAGAGGTCGACCGCCTATAGATGATTACGATCAGACATTCACAACACCAAAAATCATGACAGTGTCTGGCGCAACCCAAGATGATGCTTACTCAAACGATGCAATGTCTAGCAGCGAACATGACTTGAATATATGGGACGAGGACCAATCAGCTAATGAAGGGGCAGAAAATACTGAAACTGAGGAACCTCCATTGAAAGTTAAAAAAGAAGTGAGAGCAATTTCTCTTACATATTTATTGTAAATAGTTATTTTTTTTGTGTCATCGGCATCAACTGCTACGCTTATTAGCCTCGTGTTCTGTGTAGGCTTTGTTACTGTTTCCCAGCGCCACTTTAGGAACAGCACTGTTAATTAGTACCCAACAGTGAATGGTCGAGTGGGAATCCTACAAATAGTTATTATTCTTTAAGTCTAGGCAAAATTGGTGCCACATGTGGTTCCAAATTATGAAAATATGCCAAAAAATGAAAATTTCTATAGAGTATTTCGAGTTGACTAATTATAATGGTGGGTGAGGTTTTCCGGGTTTTCCTCACCTGTAAGTCAAATGGCACCATCAATCATCTTTAAGTCGCCCCGGAGCGCCACGGCAAATAATAATAATGGCCGTCCCTTTCCCCGGACAAGCTCAGCTTTTGGGGTTAAAATTCACTCGTAAGGGGGTGAATTAGGGAGAGTATTATTATTATTATTATTATTATAATATGAAATTAAAAATTTGAAAAACAATGGCGAATCCTATATGGTGAACAAAAATAATATATATTTGTGTATTTTTATCAAATGTTGCATATCATAATAATATAATAATTTTTTGATGAAAATATAGGATTTTCTGATATTAAAATGGCGGATCTAATGTGGATGATAAAAATTAAAAAATTGTTGTTTTCATAAAATGATGGATATAGTACTTTTCTATGAAGCTGATTAGGAATTCGAAAATAAAAATTTGAATAACAAAAGGGTGGATCCTATATTGCGGGCAAAAATGATAATAATTGTAATTTTTAAATAAAATTATAGGTTTTCTGAGGTTATTGATTAAGAATTTGAACAAAAAAAATTGAAAAACAAAATGGCGTAAAAAACTTTATTTATTTTTCATAAAATGTCGAATATAGGGGCTATAATATGACTAATTAGGAATCAGAAATAAAAAATAATAACGAAATGGCGGATTCAATATGGTGGACAAAAATGATTGTAATTATAATTTTTAAATGAAATTATAGGTTTTCTCAGGTCACTGATTAAGGATCCGAACAAACATTTTTGAAAACAAAATAGATCTAATATGTCGAAAAAAATTTGTTATTTTTTCATATCGTCGAATATAGGACTTTTCGCTATCTTAAGATGTAGCAAATATTTCACATTATTTAGTTCATTATTTTATCTTTGTCCACAATAACGAAATATGTATTTTTTTATAGTCCAACGATGATGAGGACGCAGTTCTTGACGAACAAAGCAACACCTCATTTTCCGCAAACGATACGAAAGACAAATCCCTTTTAAATCTACAGCTAAAAGGCGCCGGTACTAATGCCGCCAATGCAAACGTTACCACATCTGGAAATCAGTCGTTCCTCACGCCCGCCCTGGAAAAAGAATGGCCGGACGTAATTAAAATGAACGATTACCTGAATACCGGTAGGAGGCAACAATTTTGGGAGGAACCTTTTACAAAAAGGGTAATGGACGCTATAAAGACTAAAAATCTCGAAATGAAAGTCGCCGCTGAACTGTTGGGAGTTTCTTATGGTACGCTATATGGACGATATAGAGACTCTTATGGTTGTTTGAAACACCCGTACAGGTAAGCAGCTGTTGTTTATGCAATTCTTCTGCCATACAAAAAATTTAACAGTCTTTATCTGATACAAAACTTTTCGTATTTATGCAAAATAGCTTTCTGTTAAATATTATGAATTTAGGATTTATTTTAGTACTTGATCTTCTAGACCAAATATATCCATGGCCCATAGTTTGATCTCAGTCTATAATGGCGTGGGTTTTAATAGCAAAATATTTTTTCAGAGTTCGCGACTTTTGGACTGAACAGGGCCCCACCGACGTTTTACTAAAATTAAAGCGCAAGGAAATTACATTATTCCGAGCAGCGGAACAGTTAAATGTCACACCCCAGACTCTCTCCAACTACCTGATATCCATGTCGCAATTAGATACGTCCGATATGAACTCGAGTCGACAATCAAACGCCGGAGAATCCTACGATGATTCAGACGACGAGGCCGATTCCATTTTGCCAGACACCCCTTCCAATAACACGAACGTGTTTAAAAGCTTAGTACATACTAGTTCACCTAGTGGTAAGTAAAATAAAATGGTATTTAAAGGAAAAATGCGACGGTAAGATCTGGAAACTATAAAAAATTAGCACGTTCTTTGCCATTTCGTGTTTTCAAATTAAAAATCTCGGTCAGTTTGCATCACTGTAACGAATATTTTTATTGTTAGGATTTTTACGAATTAAAATTTATTATTTAATGGGCTTTTCGAGTGCACGTCATATAACAATATCTTGTCCAAACGATCGTCGCGCTGTAGAATGCTTTAACTGATTTTGACCGTCGTCTGGAGAGAGCTGTCTATAAAGATTATTGGCAATATTTCTCTAAATAAGAGATAATACTTAAGTTTGAAAATATTTTTTAAGAAGGAAGAGTATTCAATATATTAAAATTAAATGATCCACAATCTTCTGTCTGCATCAAACACTGTCAAAAGTAATCATTTTCTGACTGCATTTTGAAAAAAGACATTTAACAACATATTTTGCATTTTTCGGAAGCGTAGGACTACAAAATATATTTTTTTTTGTTTTTCCGATTTAGAACACGGAAAAATAGTTTTTCCTGACTTAGAACTCAGTAAAATAGATTATTCCTACTTACAACTTGGAAAAATCGATTTTTTCGATTTACAACTCGATAAAATAGATTATTCCAACTTAGGACTCGGAAAAAAGTGATTATTTAGGACTCAGAAAAATTGATTATTCTGGCTTAGAACTCGAAGAAATGAACTATTCCAACTCAGAACTCAGAAAAATTGATTATTCCGACTTAGAACCCCTGAAAAGTAAATTTTTTCTGCCTTAGAATTCCTAAAATGGACTATTTCGACTTTAAACTCGGATAAATAATTTTTTTTTGTTTTAACACTCGAAAAATGAACTATTCCGACTTTAAATTGGGAAAAATTGATTTTTGACTTAGAACTCGAAAAATGGACTATTCCAACTCAGGGACTATTCCAACTCAGAACTCGAAAACATTGATTATTCCGACTTAGAACCCCTGAATAAAAGATTTTTCTGACTTGGAAATCGAAAAAAATGGACTATAACGACCTAATACTCGTAAAAATTGATTATTTAGACTTAGAACTCGGAAAAATTGATTATTCCGTCGTAGAACTCGGAAAAATAGATTTTTCTGTTGTAGAATTCGAAATAATTAGCTATTTCGACTTAAAACTCGGAAAAATTAATTATTCCGAGAAAAATTCATTTTTTGACTTAGAACTTGCAAAAATTTACTATTCATCGGCTTAACATGCAAATGTCGTAAGTCCAAAAATATTCAAATTTAAGACTAAAGGTAGAAAGTCCCATAAAATTGCCCATTTATTTTAGTTTCCAGAAAATAATACATAGAACTCGAAAAATGGACTATTCCAACTCAGAATTCGAAAACATTGATTATTCCTACTTAAAAACTCTGAATATTTGATTTTTCTGACTTAGAATTCGAAAAAATTGACTATTACGACTTAGAACTCGGAAAAATTGTTTATTCTTACATAGAACCCCTGAATAATAGATTTCCTGACTTAGTACTCGAAAAAAATAGACCATTTCGACTTAGAACTCGAAAAAATTTATTATTCCGATTTAGAACTCGGAAAAATGTATTTTCTTGACTTAGAACTCGTAAAAAATGGACTATTCCGACTTAAACTCCGAAAAAATGTTTATTCTGACTTAGAACCCCTGAATAATAGATTTTTCTGACTTAGAATTCGAAAAATGGACTATTCCGACTTAGAACTCGGAAAAATTGTTTATTCTTATTTAGAACTCCTGAATAATAGATTTCCTAACTTATTACTCGAAAAAATGGACCATTTCGACTTAGAACTCGGAAAAATTAATTATTCCGATTTAGAACTTGGAAAAATTTATTTTCTTGACTTAGAACTCGTAAAAAATGGACTATTCCGACTTAAACTCGGGAAAAATGTTTATTCTGACTTAGAACCCCCTGAATAATAGATTTTTCTGACATATAATTCAAAAAAATGGACTATTCCGACTTAAAACTCGGAAAAATTGTTTATTCTGACTTAGTACTCGAAAACATGGATCATTTCGACTTAGAACTCGGAAAAATTGATTTTTCCGATTTAGAACTCGACAAAATGAACTAATCCGACTCACCACTCGGAAAAATTGATTATTCCGACTTAGAACCCCTGAATAATAGATTTTTCTTACTTAGTACTCGAAAAAAATGGACCATTTCAACTTAGAACTCGGAAAAATTGATTATTCCGATTTAAAACTCTGAAAAATTTATTTTCTTGACTTAGAACTCGTAAGAAATATTTATTCTGACTTAGAACCCCAGAATAATAGATTTTTCTGATTTAGAACTCGAAATAATAGATTTTTCTGATTTAGAACTCGAAATAATTGATTATTCCGACTTAGAACTCGGAAAAATTGATATTTTTTACGTAGAACTTTAAAAAATTGAATATTCCGTCTTGGAACTCAGAAAAATTGTTTTTTTTTTGTTTACTTGGAACTCGAAAAATGGCATATTCTGACTTAAAACTTGGAAAAATTATTTATTTTGACTTAGAACCCATGAATAATAGATTTTTCTGATTTAGAACTCAAAAAAATGGACTAGTCCGACTTAAAAATCTGAAAAATTGATTATTCCGATTTAAAACCCATGAATAATAGATTTTTCTGTTTAAGAACTCGAAAAAATGAGCTATTCCGACTCAAAACTCGGAAAAATTGATTTTTTTACTTAGAACTCGAAAAATGGACTATTCGTCGGCCTTAACATGCAAATTAAATAAGTCCAAAAATATTAAAATTTAAGACTCAATGTAGAAAATCCCATAAAATTGCCCTTTTACTTTAGTTTCCAGAAAATAATACATAGAACTCGAAAAATGGACTATTCCAACTCAGAACTCGAAAATATTGATTATTCCGACTTAGAACCCCTAATAGATTTTTTGACTTAGAACTCAAAAAATAAACTATTCCGACTTAGAACTCGGAAAAATTGTTTATTCTTACTTAGACCCCCTGAATAATAGATTTTTTTGACTTAGTACTTGAAAAAATTGACCATTTTGACTTAGAACACGGAAAAATTGATTATTCCGATTTAAAACTCGGAAAAATTTATTTTCTTGACTTAGAACTCGTATGAAATGTTTATTCTGACTTAGAACCCCTGAATAATAGATTTTTCTGATTTAGAACTCGAAATAATTGATTGTTCCGATTTAGAACTCGGAAAAATTGATTTTTTTTTGACGTAGAACTTTAAAAATTAAATATTCCGTCTTAGAATTCGGAAAAATTGTTTTTTTTTTTTACTTGGAACTCGAAAAATTGCCTATTTAGACTTAAAACTTGGAAAAATTGTTTATTCCCACTTAAAACACATGAATAATAGATTTTTCTGATTTAGAACTCAACAAAATGGACTCTTCCGACTTAGAACTCGGAAAAATTGATTATTCCGATTTAGAATCCATGAATAATAGATTTTTCTGTTTATATGAACTTTTATTCCTATTTTAGGACGTAGATTACGCTGTTAAAATATGACCGCCTAATTTCGGGACACCCTGTATATGTCAAATTTCCATAGGATTATTACACTTGGACTAACGACGAACAACTACTAGACCATTTAACCGAATTGCAAGGATCGTTTATGCTTATAATTCGGAATTTACTAAACATAACGCCAAAAGGCTTTCAAAATTACTTCCAAGTATAATAATTATTACATCCCCAATGCCAGTTATTATCTGTTAATGTATTTCTGGTTGCAATTTACTTAAAGGTTAAAGTGACCATATTAATTAAAAAAGTAGAAAGCGGGATAAATCCAAAACGAATTATATTTGTTGTAGTGACGGTTTGGTTAATTGAAGAGCAAAAAAACGTCACGTCACCATAAATTTTGAATTTTTAGGTGGCTTATATGAAATATTTTTTTAATCGGATAAAAGCAGGACAAAATCGTTTTTAATCGGACAAAAGCGGGACTAAATTGTTTTTAATCGGACAAATGCGGGACTCTCCTGCCTAAATCGGGATGGACGGTCACTTTAAGAAAGGTACACTATTTATTTTGCAGTGCGGAACGGTGTAAGCAGGAATGCCAATTGTATGAGCTAGCTGAATACTTGCAAGTAAATAATGACTTATTTTTGAATGAACGGATTAGTCTAATAGTTTTTTATTGTTTGACTTGGATAAAGAACGTGTTAATTAATTGATTAATGTAACTATAACTCGGGTTTATTAAATTTGTTCCTTTGTTAATAGCTTTTTCTTTAAATTGAATAGGTACTTCTTCGTCACTAGCAAATTGTCCGGACATTACCATCGTCAAAAAGGAAAAACTGGACGGCGTTGGCAAAGTCAACAATAACTCAGATCATTCCGAGAGCAGTAGCGATCAAGGCAAATGAAAAACAGTTTCGTTTGTTTACTGAAAAAATATTCCCACTTATTAGTATTTTGTAAAGACCAAAGTAATTTTGTACTGTATTTAGTCGATAAGAAGTCTCTCTTCAGCTGAATACGAAGTAAAAAAGATAAAAGAAGTAGTGATATGGTGAATACCAAAATGATTTTTGTAAATTATCTTACAAAGAATTTTGCGCAGCTGCAAGGGAGGGATCAGTCGTTGATGTGCGTATTGAAAGATTGGTTTTTCTGAATTTACATACAGGGTGAGGTTAATGTATGGAACGCTCAAATTATTTCGGAAACTGCTTTTACGATATTTATGAAATTTGGTTTGTGGGGATTTACAGCATGGCCGATTTTCAAGTGGTATTTACCTTGTCATATCTACCGTTTTTACGTAAATACAACGAACTTTAGATGAAAAATATTCAGAATTTCTTAAGCAATTTGAAAATAAAATAAAAAAGTTCGTTATATTTTCGGATAAACGGAAGATCTAACAACAACTTAAATATCATTTGGTGATTGGTCATATTATAAAAACCCCTCATACTAAATTTCATAAACATAATATAAGTCGTTTCCGAAATAATTTGTGCGTTCCATACATTAGCCCCGGTCCGTACATTTTTTTTTTTTTTCAGATTATACAGGGTGGGCCCCCCAGTAACGTCTTGACCTGTAGAGTCAAAATTATATTTTTTTCTTCGGTTTTCAAGGCAATATGTAGGTATATCAGAAAAGGCAACAATTTAAAAACAATCTTAATTATACAGGGTGATCCAAGAAAGTAATTTAATATTTAAAAAAATAAAGTAACTTAAAAACTGAAAATTCTCAAATTTTAAATTTAGATGGGGAATACTGAATCCTATAATCTTATTTACTACTTTTGACGATTACTTTTCTTCAGTAAATGAAAACAATTTAAAAACGTATTAGAGTAATTCAAGATGTGATGCACTACATCAGATATTTTAAATATCAACATTTTTTTATTTTTTTCATCCAATAGACAAATATGAAATCATAGACATTAATATAAATTTTAAAAATAAAAATAAAGATGTCGATTATACAGGGTTTTCCATAATGATATTCCAATATCAATGGATGCGTTTTGTCGAGCCAGATCATTCTTCTTTAGGTTTTTTTGTCCTTTTTTCCTGAAGAGAGTTCGATCCAAATTTTCTTCTAATTTTTTTTGGATAATGCGCTCCCAACATCGAAATAGTTTCTATGCCGGATTGTCAAAATAGACAATTAGTCGCTAATTTTTAGATTTTCAGGAAAATACGTCAGAAAAGTCTGGAAACAAAAATCGTTTTCATGTGTACATATCAATCTAAACGTCTCGTAGAGCCGAAAAATTCTTCAGGTTTATTTACTGTATCGCCTTTTTTAAGTAAAATTTTTCTTGCGCATGTTAGCTCTATCCTTGGCACATGATATAAAAATCCGACGCATCTATATAGAAAATACAAGTAACGAGACGTTTTAGATAAAAAACTGTAACATTACTTCATTGTTAAAGGTTGTGTTTTTTGAATTTTTTGAAGTGAAAGTAGAAAAGCTATTGTATAAGTACAAATATTGCACAAATTTTATGAACATTTAGTTTATTTATTATTGCAACTAAAACAAGAATAAGATAAAGTACAATGAGCAAAGACACTTTATTTTAACCCTTAGTTACTCGCACCAAATTATTCGAACTTTTTCCCACGTGATTTACTTTGTACACCACCCTAAATTTAGCTTGTTTTTAAACAAGAACGCTATTTTGTGGGTGACGGTAATTTATTCAAATATTAAAAATATATAGGAACATAATATCAACGAACAAAAAAAAAACAATTAACGAAAAACTAAATTAATTTTAAATACCCTCTAATCTTCTTCTGATTCTTCTCCTTGTACTAAATTATGGCAAGTTTCACATTTTATTACAGTTGTAGCATGTTCTTTGCAAACAAAATTTTGACACGATGTACACCTCATTGTAGTCACTCTGTTTTTAGCGCGTCCTCATAATGCGCAACGACTCCTTATTTTTCGTGGTGGTTCTTCAGTTACGTTTTCATCGGCTTGGTTATACTTAGATAAAAGATCCTCGCTGTAAGTTTTTTAATTTTGATCTTTCGCCAAGGTGTTTTTCCATTAGAAGCATGGTCATTGATTTCAAAAAAGTTCTTCGATTTTTTGCCGGGTTATTAGGATGTGTTCCATTATATAGAATTTGTGAGTTAACTTCAGATATGTTTAGCAAATGAAAAAAAATTCACAGGGGACATCTATTGGTTCTACGCGAAACTGAGTAATTCCCACAAAGCTGATCAACTGTGTCAACACCTCCTTTAGTCTCATTGTAGAAATGGATTACTTCTGGCTTCTGTGAATTTGGGTTTACTGCAGCATCATTGTGCATGGTCGAAATCAATATAACTGCCTTATTTTTTTTCGGTGCAAGACACCATCATCAAGTTTTTCTGGAAACCAAAAAGAGCTAAATTTATAGCTCTACTTTTATGCGGCTGAAATTCAATTGGAATATCAGCCTTTTTTTTTAAGAGTCCCCACAAGTGTAACCAACAGTTCCATTGCAAGTGGACAACAGATGTACCAGTTATCACGAGTCAAATTACGGTGCTTTCCTTCTACATGATCTAGAAATCTTATTACAATATCGTGTGGAGAATTAGATACTTTGTAAGGTTCATCTGGTTGCTGCCCACAATATATTTCTAAATTAGAAGTATAATACGTCTTGGCATCGCATAGTGCAAACAGTTTCAATCCATACTTTGCCAGTTTACTGGGTACGTATTGTATGAAACTACAGCGTTCCCGAAATGGCACTAGCATTTCATCAATAGTCAAGGACTCGCTATGACAATATTTTGTTTTGCAGTTGCTTACAAATTCAGTGAATATATCCCAAACATCAAATCTAATTTTAGACAAAATAAAAAGAAAACGATTTTAACTCATGCACGCTGCAAATAGATCAAGTCCTGTCTCATCTAGCACCTAGAGTTCGTGAAAATTGGAATGATTGACTTTTTTCAATCCGGATAAGAACAATAAACCAAAAAAGACAAAAGTTCGTTTTTGGTAATCAATTTAGCATCTCGCTCTCTGGAATAATTTGGTTGTTGACTCCCAATAAATTTATTCGTGTTCGAAACAATACTATCGATCATTTCATTTGTAAAAAAAATTTGGAACGCGTCAAATTCATTTGTTATACTTATTGCACATCGGTAGGACCAGGCAATATTTTTGCTACATGTTTTGGCAAACTTACTCACAACAGATGTCTTCTGCCATTTGATGGCTCTATTTTTTCAAAAGAAAAACTACATCAGCACTATCATACCCTTTACTTTAAAATCTCTTTATTTACATATTTACTATATACATGTCATTGAATAGGGTATAAACATACAAAGATATTATTCTCACTCGCGAAACTACGAGTAGAAGCATCTTCGCGTGCCCGGCTGTCTGAGCGAGACGCCCTAGCCCAAAATACCGAATATCCAATTAATAATTGATGAATTTGTCGTGCCATCTCCTTATCGTACGATATTATATAGCAATATTGGCGAGTTTGCGATCGAGAATTGAATTTTGTGTTAGTTCTTGTGGGAGTTTACTTGTGATTGTCTTCCCTGCGAAAAACTTTGAAAAACCAGGGTTGTCCTTGTATTTATGTGTGTCATTTTGTATAGTTTATGTCTGTGTATAACTATTTTACTTGACTGGATGGTGAATGAATGAATGAAAAATTTATTTACAGATTTATGTACATCACAATATTTGCATCTACAAAAACATGTTGTTTTGTCCAAAATCTTCGCCACGATCCTCCGGCCTAGGCTAGAGAAGTGTGGGCGTCGTCTCGTACCCCAATCACGTATGCAGAAGTTTAGTATATGAGTTTTTAAGTGTCATCTCCTTATTAAACAAACATTATATGGCAGTTTTCGTTGACTTCTATACGTCGATAATTGATCTTAACTCATGAAGATGTGTCTTTTGTTAGTTATGTCTCGTTTCCCCGAAAAAGCGCGAGAAAAAACAGGCTGAATGGTGAAATCCATCTCCAGCGAGGGGATCGTGCCGATCGTGGCAAGCCTCGATTTCCATGCAGTCTTCCGTCGGACTACCATGTTTGAGTACTTGTCCTAGTAAAATAGTTATTTAATGGATTTGTCGCAGTGAGAAGGGTGTTGCTGCATATGTTTGTTAATTGTCCCGTCTGTAGAGGTCCAGCTTCTCATGTAAGCATCCATGCCTCCTGTCTCCGGCATTTCCGCTGTGCTGAGATAGTATGTCTTCTTTGACGTAATCTGGAAGACATTGTGTGAAGAATTTCTCAGCGACAGTGGCAATATACTCTTTGACAGTGGGCATGGATGTTTCGTGGTGCATGTGTTATTCTGGCGTAGCGGTCGTACCCCAAGGCCAGCCGAAGACACCTGTTTTGTATTCTTTGTATGTGATTATCCGCTATAGAGCAGAAAACTGGAGATCCATACGGTTAGTATGGGCTTATGATTTGCTTGTAAAGCAGTAATTTATTTTCCCGAGTAACATAGGGTAAAGTATGCGTAACATAGCCGTAGCTTTGTTAGCTCGTTCTTCTACGTGGTTTTTGAACGTTAGTCCCTTGTCAAGGGTAATACCGAGATATTTTAAATGATTAGCCGTGGGTATTATATTTTGTTGTACCTTCAGATCAGTAATTATTTTATTAGTTCTCATTTTGCTTAATGAAACCGCTTCTGTTTTCTGCGGGTTTATTTTAATTTTGTTTTTATCTAGAAAAGAGAGTAGCGTTTTATTTGTATGAATCTCCAGTCTTCTCATGGCTATTTCTGCCGATGCAGATGATTTGAAAATGCAGGTGTCATCGGCGTACAACGCTCTCTGAATACCATTAAGTCCCAGGGAATATCATGGGTCATGATGGTATACAGGTGGGGCGAGAGTACCGAACCCTGGGGTACTCCCGCTCTGGCAGTGTGTGG